CAAAAGCCCTAATTAGCACAAGAAAGCAAAACCCTGAAGGATTCTGGTCGTAGTAGTAAAATGATGTCATAGTGCAAATGGCCTATTGTAGACACAATGTATCAAATTAAACTCAATTTGCTTGTGACGCTTTCATTTCTAAATTCACATTTCGCACAAACCCTGGGTTACCTTGAAACCAATTTTGAACAACCCGGCCCATGTCTATAACTCCTGCAGTAAAGAGACAGGCGCAAAAGAGAGAGAGAACTGGGCACGCGACGGAGACAGCGCTCATTACTTTCAAGCGCCACAGGCTATTTAGGGACATGCTATGCGTTAAATTTCCTACTTTCTGTGGACGAAATCCCAGTGAGGTGTGTGTGACTACTCTCAGCTTAAATTGGATCAGCTTATTTAAAAGTGGAAAAGAACTGAATTGACTCGCGGAAAGCCAGAGAGCACATAATAAAGAAAGGAACTCGAGCACATGAATATCGGCTTATTATATGTCTCCTGTGAAAAGTTGATGTTTACACCACTAAATGTTCTCCCAAAATAAAATAATCGATTCGGGTTTCACTAAAAGTCTGCAGTGATTCATATTGTTCATGCATTTAGGTTTGTGTTTTTGTGCAAATTGTATTTATATATTAGCCAAGGGAAAATGAAACCTCCTCAGCAATACTTTCAATTGTTTAGTTCCAATGCAGGTTCAACTTTTGCAATTGAGTCTGGAAATCAAGAAATCCTATGGTGCTGGTCTTTAGTACGTACTTTCACTTGGTATTAGTACTTTTATGGTACTGATGTAAGTAGTTCTAACTTTTGTAATTGAGTACTTGGATCAACTTTTATGGATATGTTAGTATCCAAATTAAACATCTTCAGCAGTGTTGTTGCATGCCACAGTTCATTGGTGGCTTTTTGTGATTAACTTTGATTCTGGGCTTTCTTGAAGGTAAACAGGCAGTTTTTGGTTGATTTTGATACTTTTTTTGAATTTTCTGTTTTTGGTATTTTTTCCTCGGCACAAATGTGCCTTTACTAGTTCAAGCGCTTATATTTACATTTAAGTTTTAAGTTGTTTCAAAATTATCCAAACTTAACTTTCAGTGGGAAAGTAATAATATCAATAATTACACACATTCACTAACCCCGTCTAAAATCGGCTCTTGACTCACGGCCTTCGGCTACAGTAAACTGATAAATTATCAGATGAAGATCAGAAAAAAAGTTTTGATAAAGTGGCATTATTTGTTTGGAACTTATAGTTATCGTTATTTTGTAAATAAATTAGACTTTACCCGATCACTCGATGAGAAGATGCAAGACTGAAACTTGTTCCGTCACTGTTAGGTGATTATAACTCCTTGCCAAGCAGATGATGTTCAAGACTCTACTAAACTAATCAACCCTTAAAAAGGCGATAGAAGCGCGGTGGGGTTGCTGTTTGGAAGTTTATATCATAATCCCCGTCTTCCGTTTGTTTGCAATCCACTTTCGAGCCAAAGACATCCCTTCATCAAAAATAGAACACTTCTAGAAAAACCCCTCAACAAATGAGGTTCCTTTAAAATGATATTTAAAAACCTGATAATAATTCATTAAGGAAGTACTTAAAGGATGTGCGTGAAGCTGATAAAACATGGCTGAATTTTCCTTCCGATCAGTCTTCGCGAAACTGCATGTGAACCACACCCAAGCATTACGTAGGAATGCTTCTTCTTCCTTCTCTCCCTCAAGCCTTGGTGAAAAGCTTGGCTAAGCAGATTGAATGACTTGTTTATTAAACAGTATTCCTAAAGCCAGGAGCAAAACAAGGAGAGGTATTTTTTATAAATGTCAATAGTGGACTTTTCGCATCAAGATTCTTTCTAGAAACACCCGCAAGGGACAATCAAAATTGCTTACCCCAAATCAGGGGCACCCAACTTCAATTTTCGGAAAATATCTTTTCGGATGACGATTTGAGATCTAGAATTTTCCGAACATTTGTTTTAAATTTCTTGCTTGCCTGCCTCTCCTAGGATTTTCGAACATCTAAAAAATGGCATAATTGCCCATTTTTAACGGATTTTTACCATAAAAAGGTCACCTAGAATTTCGGGAGCCTTTTTTTTGGCTGAAATTTTCGAAACGATAAGTTCTGATACGTATAATTTTCAGATCACTAGACTTTCAGCTAGGAAATCCGAACAGATGAAAACTTTTTAGGGGATAAAAATATGCCTATATCTACCGTTTAAATACTAAAATACGTTTAACAATGCTATGTTTAAGTGGTTTTGTACTATATTCTTGTTGGTTGCCCCTGCCAAATGTTCGACAGCTAAACAGTATGTCTTGTTTAATCATGAGATCAGCGTGTGTAGTGTCCTCTGGGGATGGTCTATTTGTATATTTTGAAGATCAATGACGAATTGAACAAATATGTCACCTTGATGGGTGGGGTAAAAAGATCGAAACCTGCGTCAGCGGTACTTAACCTTTTATACACTGAATCTTTGAAGACCAAGCAGGACTTACCTAAAACCTCTTCACAGCAAGCTCAATTAACGGAAAACTACATTTAAGAAGTCTGTAGAAGCTACACCACTTCTGACGACTAATGAATGTAATAGACTTTAGCGTACTAGTTACGAGCCAATCACAGTAAAGGATCTTTGGTCTGTACTAGCTGAGTCTCATGTCAAAGTTACCTCTACTTGTCCTGCTGTCAAAGTTATATAAGATTTCGGTTTCTGTGATGTCTAGCCACAATCAAAATACATGTCGCTCGCTGACGTTTAAAACAAAAATATTAATGACCTTTAAATCTTCCTTTTCATTACCCTTAAAATGTATGCATTTTTAGCGATTCCGCTTGTATTTTTAGCCCTTTTTGTACCAATAATTCAGCTACTTGACATTACACTTTGGCCTTTACCTGCAGGTAGCAATTCCAGTCCAAAACAATTGCAGTCCCCTACAAAGTAAGCTGGTTAAAATTAGATGTTTATGATGTCATCCCGTTTCCTCTGTAACATGCGGCTTTTTTACGGTAATCTACACTGTAAGATTCGTGTAAAACAACTGTATAACGGTAAAACTCCTAGGATTATGAGATGAACAAAGACAATGAAAGGACCTTGCATTGTAGTAAGAAGGTAGCAACCATTCCGTCATAAACAACCTAATTGTTCACATATGTGTTTAACTTACAAGAGAGAGAAAGACAGAAAGTTGTCAAACTTCGACCAAAATCCCTTAAAAATGTACATTGACATTTTTCAACGTTTGATAAGATTCCGCGCTTTAGAACGCTGATAGCGAAGTGAACGTAATGTAAACTAAATCTGGTTCAGATGTGAAAATTGACTCGTTTCGCTGTTATCAAAGAGCTCCATTTTTCAATTCACATTGTGCGGTTTGACAATAAAATGGTTATGCGGAACTTCTCTATTTAAAAACAAATTCTGTCTAAGACACTCAGGTACGTTTTGTACCCGTTTGATCTTAGCCTTGAGCCAAGCCAAGTCCAGCCTTGCTTTCCAGAGCGATTGCATAATTCAGTAAATGGTACAGAACTATTCAAATAAAGGTTTAACTACTGACATAAACGTTCTGAGGCAAAAGTCATGCGACTAGCACTAGTGCATTAACTTACGACAGTAGAAACTTAAAATATTACCAGCTTTGACACATCACTGAAAGACAAGTTTTAGATTAAGAGCTAAAGTATGCATGCTTATGTTTTCAACTGTATTTTAATTTTGTTTTTCCCAGTATATATTTTATAACATTCAGAGCAGCAACAGGGAGGAAGTGTTTCACCCGAGGCGTGGGAGGCGTGGTCTGTCCCGCTGACGCAGGGATCGCTTTCATAACCACTCTTGTAAAATGAGAGAGAAAATCAGCTCTGAGAGAGAAAAGCAGGGATTTAGACCACTTAAACCACTAATTATTCCTGACTTATGACATCCTGTTATAAGGCCATCGTCTTCCTCTCCTTTTTACAACGAGAATTTTCTAAACTCGGTCTTAAGAACGGGGGTAGGTGATTATAATTTGCAATCTCTGTAGCGGTAACCTCTTCAAGGCGACAATTAGTGGGGAAGGCGTAAAGAATAGTGAGCATGAAAAAAGTTAGAGAGAGAGGAGGGAGGGGGGATAAAGGTGTTCCCTTCTCTTTCCCTCTTTTTCTTCTCCGTTTTAAGTGTCCCCACTCTCCATTTCCCGCCACTCTCCACTATTTGAACGTCTGGAACAGGCTGCAGCTAGCGGATACGATTTAGGATTTTTAGCACAATTAAAGCTTTGTAGACACAAATAAACGACTCTTGAGTAAGCAAACTGAATAATTGACTTAGCATCTTCTTGGGTGGGGAATGCACTTCTTAGTTTAATGATTACGCTTAGTACCTAATCACACGATATTTGCGTCCTTCTTTGGGCACAGACTTTAAGCATCGTCTAAGACCCTAAATCGGTAAAAGTCTGAAACCTAACATTTCTTGACCCACAAATCTTGTTTCGGGAACTCTGCCTGGTGGTCTTCACCTTTCAGTTATATACATTGGTTTATGCATTGATACAGGAGTGTACAGTTGCTTTAGCAAATAACGTCACGTATAACTGTTTACTGGCGGCTGCATGGAAAATTTAAAACATGATGCAGTTACATCCAATAAGCTGAGATATACTCTGTCTAATTGGATACTGGACTTTGTAACTCTTTTTAGTAAAAACAAATTTAACTTGTTCATGCGCGGCACAGATTTTGTTGATGTTTTCGTATACTTCTTTCTCCTTTCTTTCCCATATTTCCCTCTGATCTTATTTGTACCACTCAACGCTTGATAAGCCACAAAGTAATATGGCCTTCAAGGTCGCTTTGACGAACAATGTAGTCAGAAACTTGCGGCAAATTTAGCAACAAACAATACGCTCAATTTCGCTCTCCCTGGCAGTCTTGATTAAACTATAATGACCTTCGCTAATGTCAAGCCGACGGTAGCAGATCGATTTCTGGCTCAGTTGGGGGCCTTGCCGCCCATGATATATGTGCGTTTTCCGCTTCGAAACTCAGAATAGAGGAACCCTTGTTATTCAGATGTTGAGTCTTGCAGGTGAGTGAACGAATGATGGCACGCGTCGCGTGCAGTTAGTCACGAGAGCCTTAGTGTGTTTAAAGTCAGCTGTTAAGTCTACGGTCCAGTAGCCTTTGAAATTACTTTTTCCTCTTTCTACTTATTTTCTCTCCCTCTGAAAAACGCAAGCAAACAAAGGGTAATCTATAAAAAAACAAGTATATCTAGACATTTTTTACTCACGCGTTATTCATTTCTCCCCAAGAATGAGCGTTTTAAATGTATCGTTCACAAGTTAGTGTACCATAATGCAATTAATTGATTTGTTATAGTTATGGTTAATTAACACACCCATTGAAAAACTAATGTTCTATTACTTACAGCACAAACGTGACGGTAAAAATTACATAATACATTTTCACTTACGCCTTATTCATTTTGCCTAAGAATTAGTGCTTTAATTTATCGTTCACAGGTACCATAATGCCATTAATAAATTCATTATACCCGTATAAACTAATGTTCTATTAGTTACAGAACAAACGTGATGGTATTAAAATTACATAACTTGGTATAAATAACGCCTGCCAAAACAGGTCATTTAAAAATAAAAAAGAAAAAGAACAAAGACAAAAATGCAATGCTTCGTTCTCATCACCGACGCCTAAATGGCGTCTACAGGAAGTACTAAAGCATTATTTTGTCGCGGTAATTTTGGGTGAGGCGATCGTTGCATTATGCCAATATTTTTTGCTACTCCTTAGTGGCGCGCATAGTTTTCCCTTTTAGTTATTCGGTTGATTTAAGACCTTGTTGTGACTAGCCGATAAAGGATTAGCCTTGAGTAGCTCGTGGGATGAGCAGAGAACATTCCCCGCGACGGCAACGAGAACTTTAAAAACGCAATAGACTATGAGCAAAACAACAACTTTGCACGCGCATTTCGCTTTTTCGTACATTTCTTTGCCGCGACCACGACTGGGGACGTGAAAATGCCTGATTTCATGTTTTATGGAGGACGTAAACAAGCAACGACAAAACGTTCTTTCTTTTTCTGAAGGACAGCTCGCATTCATTTGCCAAAGTAAGCACGGTGAGTTGGAATAATCCTGATGAAGATTGAAAACCCGCAAATTCACTTTTTACGCGACGTTTTCCCTTGCCTTCGCCATCCTTGCATCGTAAGCTCCCTATCATCGCGAGTAGTCGTTCTCTTCACTTTCTACCGTTTACTGAAACTAACCCACAATAAGAAACTCCGGATTGAGATCAACTGATAACTAATCGAGAACTGGTCAGAACCGGTTTCACTGATAGCCGTGAAAGGCTAAATGTTCTGGATAACGTTCCAGTTGTTCTACAAAGTTAATTACCTACGATTTTCGGAGGTGTGTTTTTCACCTGATTTTTTTTATCAAGATATTGCGATTTTGTTAAAAAAAACACCGTCTCCTAAAAATTTAAGTATTAAGGCAAAAACTCACCTAGGATTTTCTAATGAAATGAGTACGGCTACTACTCCTTCGACCAGACCCATCAGAGTAGTTAACAGAATGAGACGAAAAGGCCACCTAAAACTTATTACGAGACGATTTAAGTTCCCCTGAGACATCCGAAAAGATAGATAGTTTTTTGGGCAACTCCTATTTAATCAAACAGGCTTGTAAAGCATAGCTAGAGAAAACCATTTGAGACACTCCTGACGTATTTAGAGACATTCCGTCGTTGGATGGGTGTCCCTGAGTTCAGACAAGGGTGAAGATTCACTGGTGTGTTTTCATTAGTTACGTAACAACACCTACAGACTGTTTTAAAAGAACTTTAATAACTTCTCCTTCGGAGAAACGAGAGTGACCAGTTCCGTTCCTATCTTTCGCAATGTAAATAATAGGATCAGTGGTACGGTAGGCAAAATTTTGCGTTCATTTTAAGTAAGGCAGTCCTGTAAGGTGCATGGGTTTTTAGCGCGCACTACAGTTATTACAAAGGAATACAAATTTGAAAAATGCAACAGATGTTAAAGTTATGACAAAGCTCAGTTGATATGTAATTTCCGCTTCTTACGTTCTTTTAATGTGCTAATCTGGTGATAAAACTGGCTACATTCGAACAGTTATTAAACGAAATGTTTGGAATAGGCACCCATCAGCGAAAATTAAAGTTAATTAGGAACAGATCAGAGGTAAGCAGCGTTCCATAATAATATTTCAACCTATGTGTCACAGACAAAAGCTCCCACTTCCACTCGAATTTGCAGCCTCAGTCTAAAACTCGAAAAATCCAAACCTCGTACTGGGCACCATTACTCAGCTGCATTCAAATAGTCGTACTTAACAAGAAAGAATAAAACTCACTTACACTTAAATAATTCAAAAAGAAGAAGCACTTTGCACAGTGTAACAAACAGACTGCGGAATGAGATAAGCTTACGTAATGTTCCTTTCCACTCGAGCAGTGGTCATTTCACTGCGGACCCGAATTTATTTCACTGAAATCAAGTTTGTGACTGGAGTTCATCGACAATATCATGAATAAACTTGTAACCATTGAAACGGATGGTCAAAGTTATTGCTAAAAAGAACGGTCCAGCAAAGACTGTGGCAAACTCATAACAACCATAACAACGTGTATTACTTTTTTCAATATTTCGGCTTGCCAAACTAGCCTTCTTCATATAGCTGAGTGCCATAATCCGAATATTCTTTTAACTGAATGGTTATAATTTGATAAAAACGAAAAGCTAAAACAGAAAGTGACACATGTGAAGAAATTAGACCAATTTGTAAACTTTTACAGGGTAATCAAATCCTAAACACACCCTGCATATCAGTTTTGTTTAATATGGAGTTGAGATTATGCTAATGTTTAGGAATTAATTAATTACGGATGGCAATAAAACTTAACATATGTTTTCGTAGTAAGTCATGTCCATGGGAGCGTGTGATACCATACAGTACACCCACCTCAATATTTATAACGTGTTTTCTTAAGAAATTGTTGCCATTCATTTTCTTCCGCCATCATGTTCTAGTTAACCCTGTCTCTCCCAGAATTGCAGAAGTGACCAAAGCCCAAAAACCGACAAACATTTCAAATATGCTGAGCACATGGTACTATGTCATGACACAAATCACAAAAACAAGAAAGTTTGCTCGCCTCTTCCAAATCCATAAAATGCCTCCGTTAGCCCTTTTTGGTCCTTTTACAGACCCAAATGACAGATTTCCCTACCGTTTCATAAACTTCAACTAAAGAAATTTCTACCCTTTCATATACCTGAAGCCTGACAAAGGTACGCCTTTCAGGCGGAGCCTCCCTACAAAGGGAGTGCCCCCCCGGGCATAGGATTTTGTCCGCAACCTTAAAATGGTAAAATCACCTAAAAAAGACTCCATCCGTTTCACACTCGTTTCACATTACTGCAACTTAAGACGCTTCAACCTGTTTGGCTAGAAAATCCTTCAATAAGAACGACCGAGACCAGGTTTTATGAGCCCGCGAGACTGCGGAGCACCCCAGCCAAACCCTTGTTTTCACTAAAACCGCTGAACGTCACAACCTGGTTGAGGTCGTTATTACCTAAAGATTGTTTGTGATTGGCTGGGAATACAATAGGCATTGTGACATAACAATGCCCCTACCCCTGAAAACAATGCAGTAAGGACAATTGAACACTATCAGACGTCAATCAAGTCTAGAAACAAAGACGAAAGACAGCGTTCTTTGAAATTGGTGAAAAGCAAATTCAATCTCGAGCACTCTATGTTTTTAGCTGCCACTTGACGAAAAATGTCGTTTGACGTGAATTCATTTGTTACAAGTAAGAAAGAAGTTATCGTTTTCTTAAAAACTCTCGGAAACAATTCTGGATGGTAGTCCTCAAATTTGCCACTCGCTTTGACGCGATCTTGCTGTTCCCCCTCGAGAATAATCAAGCACGTTGACCAAAGGTTTTCAAGCATTTCCCTTTACGAAATTCATTTCTTCGAACGATCTTATATTGGATCTGTTATTGTGCGCCAATTTCATAACCAGCTCAGTTGCGCAAACCAGTTTTGGAAGATTAGAGGTTTGCTATTATTCTCTCGTTGACGTTACTGAATGAACGATTGACGTCCCCCTCTCTCTTCCTCCTTTTAGGCTAGCTTAAGTCAATAGAGCAAGAGAGAGGGAAAGGGCTGAAGGCAGCTTTGAAACGTTGAATGAGGAATAAATACCTTATTTACTTCATGATAAAGAAAGAAACGACACAAAAAATAGCATTCAATGTCGAGCAACAGTCGAGGAATTGAAGCAGGTATTGGGAAAATTTTACGTCCACTTTCGACCTCTAGAAATATTTGGAACGAAGAATAAACCAACTACTGAATTCATCTTTCGTATGATATCGGACGAGCTCTTCGTTCTCCATAATTTTCCATCCAATAATTGTTTTCTATTATATAATATAATGGCCATTTTCAGGTCTTGACCCTGGAGTAATTTACCCTGCGAGCAGAGGCTACTTGTTCGCGATATGTTCTTGGGTATGCTTTCGCACGTACGTACCTACCGCACAAAGACACCCTTTGCTCTTGGGGTAGAAGAAATTCAGACCCGGTCCACAAGTCGTCGCCCATATTCGGACTTGATAGTTAATCCTGTCGTAAGTTGACACAAAGTGTCAAAACCCATGCCCTAAAGGGTGTCACTAATTTATCCACACATTTCATTCCTGTATTTATCCTACGCTAAAAAGATTAAAAGCACATTAACGAGCTTGATAGCCGTTGCACATGCCGTGGTGCAGGTTATACTTACTAATAAATGGTCTGCTATAGAACGAATTGAACGCGAAGTTGGCTGGGCAAATCGTTTCGTCTTTCTCGCTCATCTTTGAAAATCTTCTGAGGAATCCGCAAAATAAGCGGAAAGGTTCTAGTGCGATAAGAAACGTTTTAGGGGGTCAAAAGCGTGTTAATACACGAGACGTTGACATGTTACCCGACTCGTGACTGCAAAAAGGCGTTTATATAAATGAGATAACAGAACTATGCACTTGTGAGAGAAAATATTTTTTACGACTTTCAGTCATCGGTCTCCTCTGTTAAGCTTACTTTTAGTTACCTGGTTTAGGAAACCAATTACAACAACAGTCTTTCCTCAGGGCCTTTGAGAAAAAGCACCTTTGAGCTACTTTCATCTCTAATACCACTTTATTAGGAGCATCGACTAGGTGTCTAATTGGTAATGGGCGGGATCGAACTAACCAAAGCATGTTTAGAAATAGATTACGTATCTACATGTATCGAGTGACGCTTTGAGAACTGTTTCTACAGGTCAACGATTGCAGAATGTGCTAAATCAAATACAACGTGATAAACAAACGGGTAACCTTATAAGTTATAACCAGTTCAAATTTAGAACATTTTTGAAATCCACTGAGCAAAGCAATGAAGAAAAAGACAAATTTAACCAATCACAAAGCTAAGCATTTAATCTACCCGAGTGATCTACTTGGGGCAATCGATGTTACTGAAAGTTCTTCTCCACCTTAGCCTCAGGGTAGCTACGATAACAACGCAGGTTTAAAGGGGATAATGACAATATTTAACCTAGTATATCTTACCTTTTTGAAACATTAAGGGTCGATTATTCAAACGAAGCCTAACTTAAGCCGCGGTTTAACAAATCTTTGGACCTCAAGACCTCTTCCTTAGTGTGTTATTTTAAGAAGATAAATACTTTTCTTGTCTACTTTGTATGCTTGAACAGAACTGTTCACAATAAATGTTGTTTAGGCAAAACCGTTGGGCAAATAGAAAATTGCTTAGAACGCGGTTTTGTTAAACACTTACTAAACTACGTTTAAATAACTGGCCCTAAATTTCTTACCGTTGTTTAAACTTTGAACTTGAAAGTTTCTTCCCTCTAATAAGAGTGAAGTAATCGGTTTAATTTCGTTACGTAATATACTTGTGAATGACCCGTAAACGGAAGTACTGATTGTGCCATAGCCTGCATGACAGACCATGACAAACGCTGTATGAGCCAATCCAGGAGAACAGGGGGGACTCCCTATAATGGCTTACGGGGAGGTTCCGCCTGAAAGAGGAACCTTTTGCACACTTGAGGCATATAAAAGAATAGGGATTTCACTAGTTAAAGTATATGAAAGGGTTAAGAAATCTCTCATTTCGGTCTGTAAAAAGGCCCATAAGGGGTAACAGATGCATTTTACGGCTGTAAAAAAGTCAAGAAAACGTTCTGGTTTTGTGGTTTATTAATAAGGTTTTTTTAAGACATTGCATTTACAGCAATGGATGGAAATTTCTAAGCTGGGTATGTGAAAGGGGTACCATTGGTCAAGACGAATTATACGGAGCCCTCCCCCCCCGTATAAAACTTTATTGAGTAGCTACCCCGGGGGTGTACCGTAACCCCCCCAATATACTCAGTTTTACTCTTAATACGTGTCAGGAACAACCAAATGTATATCAGCAAGAGAAAAGTACTGCACAGCCCACCAATATAGAGGACCATTTCAAACAAATAAAGCACAAATCATTACGAATTAGCCTAATAATAGCCCAATGTTCTTGAGAGAGAACCCCAGAGAGATACAGTCACGTGCGCTACCACTAATACACGGTTACATAAGATTGCTGTATATTTAGAGCAGCCGGCTAATTTGATAATAAATTTTGAAGAGCGTACATTATTCGTACGTACATTGAGCAGTTGCTTAATTTACGTTACTTAGGAGATAAAGTCCCCTCAGTGTGCAAGAGTCCATTTATTTGCGTTTCCTGTTGATCTCGCCTATGACATAAGTTGCGACCTTCTTTAATACAGTTGCTAACTTAAATTCTGGTTAAATACCGTTTAGTGATGGAGAGCCTGAAATTTCTGTCTGTGCTGCTGATTTCCGTCCTAGTGTTGATCAGCGACGCAAAACCAACCCACCATCGGCCACATGTAAGACTTTTTCATTTTTATAATGTTTACACCGTACTCAGTGTTCAAGACTAAAAGACTGACTTAACGAAACGAATGCAAAAGGCGATATCTTTTGCCAGTATCAAGACGCAGTCCAAAAAATAAGTAAGGCAGAAGAGATCACGAAGAAACGAAAAATAATTAAACTGTCTGATAAATCCTATTATGCCTGTGCCTGACTCTGGCATTTCTAATCAAACTAAGGTTAACAAAGATGTCGGTGAATACATCTTGCTCCAAGGCAACAAATGAATTTCACTACACTGGTGTTTCGTTTGCCCTTTTGCTGTTTCGTTTAGTCTGTAAGATGTTTTCATGGGCCTCCGAACAGATATTTTCCGAAAATTGACGTTGGGTGCCCCTGTGTGTTTGCCGAGGTCAAAAACGCCAACGAAAACATATAATCTAGGATAATTTTGTTATCACTTATTTGTACTCTTAATCGCAAGGCTAAAAGGTTAAAAGAAAAAAAAATAGAATGTTCTCGACTAGGTAAGTCATCTTTAGGGTAAAAGACCGTCCGCTAAAATTACATTTTATAGGTTTTAGGTGACTACCGAAGGAAACGGTTTTAACTATACCTGTTGCATATAAAATAGAAATGTTATTGGGGTTCCTTCTATAGATGTGAATGTTTGGTAACGTCTGCTATAATCAAAAAATAAGGTTTCCGCGACCACCTCGGTAAACCAAGAACAGGTGTTCTGGCATATCCCCACCACCTAGTGGCATACGCCATTTTATACGTTACCGCGTATCAATCCCGGCTGGGTTCGTAGGAGGTACCCAAGGTATCAAATGACTGGAGTGTGTTTTTTCTTAAAAAAATTGTTTTGGTAGAGCAAAGAATACACGTGCAGATATTCATCTAAATTTCTTTTAAGCACGGACAATTTATTGATGTGCCATTTGCCGCCTCTAAACATTGTCTCATGCACGTGCCAAAGTATTAGGCTACTTTGTGGTTATGAAATTGCCGCACGTGCCGAGTCACGTTTTTTTAGAATGGCACACAAAAAATATATCAAATTTCAACCTTTTCAACCGAGTGTGAATGTGTCAAGTGCCGTTTGCAGCTTCGTCACTCTCTCCCCTGTAGAAGTCCCCATTAGTAAATAAAAAAAAGTAATAATTAATAATTATATTTTAAAAAAAAGAAACAGAAGCCTCCTTGTGGAGAAGAGAGGCAGATGGATGAGATCTGTTATTATTTCTTGATAACTATCGTTTTTTCTTTATCATTTTAGTGCGCAAAGCTTCGTGGCAGTGTTTGTGTTCGAGACGAAGACTGTGCATGCTCAAGGAATCTCTTCTCTGCATCTCTGATCTGTAACTACGAATCGAAGTGCCAGACTGAAAGCATATACGACAAAATCCAGAGGAGAATGCCAGTAAGTTGCTTTACAAAGTGACGGGATTGAAGCAAAAGAAATTTTAAAATATAGACCCTTGCCCTCTCCGAGGGGTGGCCTAAGTCAAAATTCGACAAAATTTTCATTTCGTAAAATGCGGAAAAGCAAATAAAACTAAGTGAAAATAATGCTAAAGAGGTTTCATTTGAATGATAGCACCACGGGATTTCGTTCGCAGACTCAAAAATGAACTACTATTAAATAGTACCATGTGAAAATACTTCTGAAGAGGTGTCATTTGAATGGTAACACCATAGGATTTTGTCCACAGACTCAAAAGTTAGAACGTTAATCAAAATAAATAGTACCATGATGTGAAACTACTTTACACGCAGACTCAAAGTTAGAATTTCATACTAAATAAAAAGCACCTTGTGAAAATACTATTGAAGAGGTTTCATTTGAATAGTCCACAACACAGGATTTCATCCACAGACTCAAACAACATTACTTGGCTCAGTCATTCACTCAAGGGCTTTCTTCCATCGACATCAGAGGGAAGCCACTGATTTTATATAATTTAATGATCAAAATCCACAGACTAAACAGTAAGAGCCATCTTGTACTGACATTCTTTAGAAAACCACTTCAAGAGCTTAATGCTTAAGAGCATTAATGTTTGATCGAAGGAATTTCGTCAACAAACTTGACAAGGATCCTTTTTTCCGAAACGTAATAGACAACACACAGGAAAGTGCAACGTTTTTGTACTTTTAAACCGGTTATCAGACTTGAGGGTTTCACTTGTAATAACACATAAAGTTAGAAACACCATGTGCAGCAAAATAGGCAAGCAACTAGAGAACGAAATTGTATGAAAGTGTATATTTATAAATGGACAGTCTTTAGGTCTCAAGTCCTTCCCCTAGCAGGTTAGGTCGTACTTATGAAATACCAATATGAAGCGAAAAAAACAAATGCTCAAAACAATGAGACAAAGTTTTGATTGGTTAGCTGCAGCAGCTGATGGAATTCAAGGAATCGATACATTAAAAAATCGACGCTGAGAGAATACTGTCAAGAACACTAAAACTTTCACCAGCCACTCACTGAACACTGTCTAGAGTCTAAACGCTGTGAAAATTCCAAAATCCCCTGTGCATTAGTCACGCATAGAAAAAGGTTTTAACTGCACAAAGAAACTCGCACTATTGCTATTATCGCGCATAAATAACGAAAACCAGTAAAGCAGACTACTTACAGTGAACACTGAGAAGCTTATGCAGGTGATCTTAGCTTGATACGATGTTCAAGAGTGTTTAGAACTGGAATGGCTCCTTTGACGATTCAGTGCCTTTACATTAAGCTTTATAGTTTTAAAACGCCATGCTGAGTAATTGGATCAACTCTATTTGCTTCTCGTGCTAAGCTTGTGGTCCACGTTCCTAACGTTCGTACGACGGATAAGTGTTCTACACACGTATTGTTTAATAGGGTTCCAATGTTTTTCCGGACTACATGTGTTGATAGTATTACCATGTTGAATTAAGGTGCGAACTCTTTCAACTCTAGAAAATTATCAACCTCACACTGGTTTTTGTCAATCAAATTACGTATTTGCTGAATCTATCCCACCCTCTGTTTTGTCTAAAAATCCTTATAGATGTATGTTTGATTTACTGAAATTTTTTAAATGATTTTTTTCTACGCACACGTATTGTTTTATAGGGTTCCAATGCTTTTCCGGAGTACATGTGTTGATGGTATTACCAAGTTGACTTAAGTTGCGAACTCTTTCAAAATCTGTATCTCTACAAAACTATGTACTAACACTGGTTTTTATCAATCAAATTACGCATTTACTGAAATTATCCCACCCTCTTTTTAAGGCTAAAAACCCTTATAGATGTATGTTTGATTCACTGAAATATTTACAATGATTTTTTTCTACATTGTAATACCCTGTTAGTACGTATCTCTAATTGTACTACCATATTGACTGAAGTTATCCCCCTCAATCTGAAACCGACAACCTCGTACCATAGTTATTTAAGTCGAATGTTTAAGAAACCCGTTAGACTCTTTCGTTACATGTTTTTGTTAGCGTTTTTGAACCTGACCGTGGACAACGTTCAATAGCATTCCTATCACTCTGGACTTACTGACCAATAGAAACTTCGCATTAATTTATTCAGTCACAATTTGTGAACAAAAGACAAAGGATTGTGCACGGTCAAGGAGCTTCCAACTTTGATGTTTGCCGCGGGCTTTCATAACCAGCCGCCTCTCCTAACTATGCTGTACAGTCATCTTAAATATCTTAACCGTATTTACCAAGATTATCTCACTCTCTTAAAGCCAACATCCTTCACAGGTCACTTGAAAAGCGACGGAATAACGCTGACAACACACGATCTATTAAATCGTTGAATAAACCAAAACTTAAGGATGGTTTTAAAAAATTGACCCGGATGTTCAGCGGTCAATTTGAAGGACGGATAACAATTGAACTTTTTTTGTACGGCTTTACAGTGGTTTAAGGAGATTATTTCTGTTACGTGTTAACAATTACAATAAGGTCAAGAATGTATCCCCTCTGCGCATATTGTCGAGCCTGTGGATTGAAGTTATCTGTTTAATTCAAAGACGGAAGACTCACTGGAGAAAGGATTTGGGGAATTTACAAAGTATAAAACCATTGACGACTTTCACGTTTTAGTGGATAATTTATTGTCAAAACGAAACTAACATGTTATCAACCGTAAGATCATTATCCAAAGATCCTTTTCAATTTTTTCTTCTGCCGTGTAAATTGAAATGCGAAAAAACGCTATTAAACCATGGCCTTCCGGAGGGGGTGGGGAGGGGAACTTTCTATACCCCGCCCGAAAGGCGGTATATATAGGTATATATATGAAAGGTTAGGGCTTTTACTAATTGAAGTAAATGAAAGGGTAAAAAAACCTGTCATTTTAGTCTGTAAGAAAGCCCAAAAGGTTTTACAGGTGCATTTTAAACTTTCTGGTTTAGTGATTTATTCTTATTTTGAAAACGGTGCATTTACAGCGGTTTAAACTCGGATGTAAAGTTCTAAATAATGTATGTGAAAGGGGTGCCATTTGTCAGTAGAGGGTATACGAAAGAGGTACCTCTCTGTCAAAATGGTGAATAAAAGGGTAAGGGGTTAGACCTCGGGACGGACCCTCCAAGGATAAAACTTTGTTGAATACCCCCTCCCCCGCCCCCTGAGGCTGGCCTTAATGTTGTTAGCAGTTGTTTAGTCTGTTGTAAAAAGGACGTGCCGCAGGCGTCGATAGGAATGTGCTAATGGAAACGGATAAGTTACGTTAGAGTAACCACACTTTAAACATAAAGCCACTCCTTTCGTTTTTTGTTTTTTTAAGCAAAGGAAATATCAAGAATCCTTGAAGTTTCCGTTATCTTGAATTGCTTAACCTTGACTGTAATTCATGTGTACTATTTTAATCTTGGTCACCAATGTGTCATAGGGTGATCTAGAATGTACTTAAACGACCAAAATAACTGCTTAAAGAAGGGAAAATAACACGAACAAAACAGAGAAGCTCAATCTGGTCAAGGCGGGCAAAATTGGATAAGATTCAAATGGACTGATTTGGGCTGAACTCAAACTTGAAAAACGTTTACTTTAAGTTGCATAAACGTGTGAGATGTAATGCTTAAAGATATTTGCCGTGCTAATAGGAAGTTAAAGCCATTAATTAACGAAAATAAACACAATTAACAATAACAATAACATCGTGACCTAGACAGGGTTCTGCTTCAAGTTGTGGTATTTTAAAAAATGTTAAACATGGAACCAATTACTTTCCTTGAAGTCAAACAGAAACATCAACAAAGTTTAAACACTTTTGGACTCAATAGCGTATAATGACTTTAAAGTCCTCCACTGAATTGCATATTTGTCTAAAACCCAGGCTGTTACACTCGCTTTTATAGTACAGGACAAGTGTAAAGTCTGGCGCGATTGGCTTTTAGCCCAATTCCCAAAACCTGGAAGGGACGACACTCATTAAAAATACCCAAAATCATTCAAGTGAAGAGGAGATGATTGAAAGTGAAAGCATGCCAAGTATAGAGCCAAGCTATTTTGGTTTTCTTTAGGGGTTGTTGAATACCAGTTTTCCGACGATAATCCCGTCTCTTCCTTAAGGGGTACCTCCCTCCATCTCGAGTGTAAAGAATCACTGTAAACGGTCTCTTAGAGTTAATGAGTTCGTAAATTCTAGCGTGGACAGCGAAAACGTATACGACGGGCTGGTGTGACATGGACTCATTTTGGTTGTGTAAAAAACTTATGTGGACCTGTGCGTTTTGTTTCAGTGTTTCCGTGTGTACAAGTCTACATGCAAGACAGACGCCGATTGTCGCCCTTGCAACGAAGCTGAGTTAACATGTGAAGACAGCGAATGCGTCAGAGAAAAAGTCGTGTTCGCTTAGAACACAAAGATGCGCCACTTGCGAAAGAAACACACTTTACATCGATTCATATCCAACATATTCCGTGGATGATTCCCTTCCGGTTGGAGAATGGCCGTGGCAAACAACTTGATTGAAAAGAGCACAGTTTGCTTAGCGGTCAACTATTATACTTTGAAAGTACCTTTTCAGCTAAGAACAGTTTCTTTCGATGCACATATAAGACAGAAAAGAGTTGAGTTATTATGTAACCCACCTATAAATTTATTGACAGTTTAGCATATATTTTTGTACATTGTTTAAGTAGTTACCGCTCTAGATGCGTAGCCACTATGCCATCACGCGCGTAAGTCGCAGCAATAGCACGTAAGCTGGCAATGAATTTGCAGTAGAAATGACAACTGAAATGACCCCACAGGTCATAGTAAAATACAAACTTTTACAACCACATGCACTCCATCAAGTGCCTATTTTCCGCTAGGTGTTTGCTATCGTCACTAGTTTTAACCAAACCCGGAATGGGGAGGTCGGGGGTTGCGTATCAGAACGGATATCTTATGTATGAGTTAGTAACGCTCCTCCGAATTTAATCCAGTGACCTTTGATTCAAGCAGAAACTAAGAACGTAAGCTTTCAACTAAAATGAACGTTACAGAAGACAACAATACGTGCGTTAGTGCGCTAAAAAAAAGTTTTTTAGTCACCAGCTGGCTGGCTAAAAAAAATTGACCTTAACATTTCGTAGATCGAAATGAAATGGAGCCAAAATCAAATCGAAAATCAAATCGAAATAAAAAGAAATCTTGAGTGTCATACGTAAAGCCAATTTAACGTTAAAATACTCTAAAAGCCTCTGACAAGTTTATTCTGAAAGTACTGATATAACTGATATAAATCGTTTTTGTCCTGTCCGTCAACCCACGTCATTTCCAACACAACACAATCAGGCGGCAGCTCACTACTTATCTCAGCACCAGCCCCAACTCGAACCACGAACGACAAGAGAGATCTGGGGAGAGTACTGCCTTGTTGAGTATCATTACTTTGTGATGGATCTTCGCGCGATTTAAATTCTGTGACTTGAGAAACGTCAGAATTTGTTAACGTCTCATTGGCTTTTAAGCTTTCCGTACCTGTGCTTTTTTCTCCTGAAGTATCTTGGAAGTTGATGTCATTAGGAATAGTATCTTCTGCTGTTTCTTTTGCGGCTAACTCTTCACCATGAGGCTGACAGTCTCCTTGGTTTTCTTGTCCAACTTTTTTTCTAAGCAGTTCCCGCCGTTTTCTCCGCTGATGGGCCCAAGTTTTGTCTGAGGCACGACAATGGAAGGTCAATACCCCAGCTGATTTGTCTGTTTCATCATGCTCTTCAGTCACAGCAACCTTAACGATAGAATGCAACATAAAATATTCAACTGAGTATTCTAAAGTACGAAATACAAGCTAAATTATTAAAGAAAAGTATGTGCAGCTTTCTCACATGCGAATGATGAAGCGAACGATCCCACTTATAAGGATCACGAGACCTGCCACAGAGAAAACTAAAGGAGTGTTCTAACAAGTTGGACTTAAAAATGAACGACGTAATATGGGATGACTAGACTCATACAAGCTTGTTCCAGGCTCCAAGTTTTTTCATGCACTCATTGTTCTTTTGGCTTGTCCTTCACTGACTGATAGCCTGGGGCACGCTAGGCTCTTAATCGCGCAGTTGCATCAAGCCATAATTCCAAGAGAACAAATTTTCATGATTCATCCCACTAATTATCATAGAGTTTCATAGTTGCTACGAGCCCCTAGGCGAGCAGTACATTTATCTTCGGGTCCTCTGTGGTTCCTTGGGTGTCCTGTTGCTATCAAGGCGTAAAATCAGATTTATGTTTGTCAGAATAATTTTTAGCACGTATGTCCTGCACTGCCAATCGAAGACCAAGAGGTTTGTCTAATTGCGCTAAGTTTCTCACATTTTGGCGCGCGCAAACAGATTCACAGTAATTTTCGTATGGGTAAAAAAAAACTAGCCAATAAAGACCCAAATGACAGAAAAACTCGTGATTGTAATTTGGTCCACAACAATTCATCGACGCAGTTAAAGGGTCTGTAATTAGCAAAATGTGTATGTCAGTTCATCGTCTCTCAGATGATGTTTTACTGCTCAAAGTCTGCTCTGCGCTTAGCACTGAAAAGTATAGGCTCTATATAAATATTTATTATTATTATTTATTGTAATTATTATTATTGTCTGCTCGCAACATTATACTTACAGTTTTTAACCTCTAGTTAAAATGAATAACGTCCAATTTTGTGCAGGGATTACCAGACACAGGGAGGTACTTACCTTTAACTCATACAGTGTCTTCCTGACATAATCTACTATTGGCTTTACTCTGTCTGTTAGTTTAAGCTGCTTGTCACATCCTGTTTCTGTGGCTGTAACTTCGTTAGGAATAATCAGCTGAAGAGGCTTTGCCTTTTTTGCTTTTTTACGGCGTTTTGAAGGAGATTCCTGAAGAAGAGGAAACAGCATAGAGGGTAAGTTATTTTAATCACGGAATCTGGGAACTTTGGCTTGTGGAATCGGGATCCTAGGCTTTGACATCTGGAGAAAGCTCAAAAAATCCAGTATCCCTCTAATGATTGGAATCTAGAATCTAAGTTCCACTGACAAAGAATCCGAAATCCAGTCAGGGGAATCCAAAATTCAAGACTGTCTTGGATTCCCTTACATGAGGCGAATATACATGTATTCAAGACATACAACTAGTCCAAGCACAGATAAACATGCTGGTAGCAAAATAAGATAACTTGCAACTGATGGTACAAAACAAAGGGATAAGATAAAGGATGATTATAAATCAACAGAATAGTTTGTCCTACCAATAGTAAATGTCCTACCAAAATCCTACCATACCTGCATGACCACATCGGGTAAAAATGACCAGGCCACACCCCAGCGCATTGTGTGCCCTTGGCAAAACTCAGTGGTTGTTATAGTCTTTATCTGAGGGAGAAAAAGAGACTGACAGTTGACACGTTGGAAACAAAAAAAGTATTGGAAATTAGAAAGGGTCTTTCTTTTGTATACAAACAATCTGCAGGATTTTTGAAGCCATTGGCTAACTGCATACAGGAAAAAGAAGTAAGTAGGAAGTAAGTCTCACTTGTCCCTAACCTGCGATTGATTTACTCTGGCAAGGCAAAACTTATCATAAAAATCTTTTGCCAGTATCTCTTTTAAGCATGCATTTCAGTCTTCCTGACATTGCTCTATCACTAGGCTTTCTTAAATTCACCTGAAGGGGGGAATGGGACTGCTGCTGCCTGTTGTCCAGACTCCCTTTCCAAACCCCCTCACTCTCCTCACCCTTCTCAACCCCCCCCAAAAAAAAAAAATTGATTTTTAGCCTGTGGTACATGCACCACCATGATCTTGTTTTGGTACAGATATGTATTATAGCTGTACTTACATCATTTTCTTTGAGAAAAGCAAGAATAGGGGCTACACTTGACTTCTTGCCAAGCATTGTAGTGTACCAGCTAAAAATTAAAGAAAAGAGTCTAATTTAGCACTTAAATCACAGACCACTGTTTGATCATTATGCACAAAACACAAAAAACACATCAAACATAGGTCTTATTTTATATTTGAATTACATGTAATGGCAAATAAATGAAAATAGGTGTTGAATTGTTCTCTGCTAGCAGAGGTCTCTCACAGCAAGAAAACAGCAGGGAATTTGATTTATTGTTGACTTAAGTACAGAAACTCTTGTTAGAATTAAATATTGTAGTAATCTGGTTACATGTGCATGCAAAGTTACAGCCATGGGTCACAATACCTGATTTGCTCTTTCATAACGAGGCTGTCTTTGATAATTTCTTTAACAAATTCCACCTCACCCCCTCCAGCAACAGTTTCAGTTTCTGTTCCAGTGCACACACCACTAGGCTGAGGACGTTTGGTGCTGCGTGTTACCCCATGAGAAGCCTCAAACTCATTCTTAAAGAATGGTGGATTGCACATGCAGAAATCAAATTCTTTATTGTCTTCCTCTTCAATGGGTTTCTTGAGATAGTTGTCATTGGTTACCTGTTTCACTAAATGAAATGAAATTTTTAGCTGGTCTGAAAAATGCTAGAATTATTATTTTTCCGAATGGGCAATGTTGTTTTCCCAGTGCAAAGATGACATTGTTGATGTATTATTTTTTGCCATAAGGTTGAGATTAACCAGCAAAAAAACAGCAAAATAGGGCTCAAAAGTGGTTGTCAAAGAGTGACCATGGTTTTCCAAATGACACAAAGTTTTCAGGACAATCTGGTTGAAATGAAGGATGCTATCTCTTCCTGAAATTCTTCACAATGATGAGCTGCATCATCTAATTTTTCACACTCCAGTTAATCAATGTATCATGGATAGTATTTAAAACTAGTCAGAAAAATCTACAAATGCGCATGAATGCTTTCTTACCTTTAATGTTATTTTCCAAGCCATTGCTTTTCACATTGTCTACAGCATATGAAACTGACAAATCATCTACCTCAGTTGCCAAGAAATGCCAGTTGTTGAGTTTAGCACCTAACAGTGGATAAATGCAGGAGGCACCTGATCCTAGTACAAAATAACACAAAATGGCCAAATTAAAAACAAAAAAAACATATCTGGAAACACGGTTGGGTTATTAAGGCAAGAATGGCTTTATTTTTTCACCACATAGTCTATTAAATCTATAATGCAACAAATGCTGAACAAAGACCCAGCAAAAAAAGATTAAGGGGGGGGTGCAGTGAACTGAGGGAGGAAAATGTGAAGATTGGTCAGAGATTTTGTTTGCAATTAATGAAAGCAACAAAAAATAATTTAAGAAATTGATCCACCACAACTCAGTTCTGCTTATGATCCACCAAAAAATTACCATTTTCACTCGTTGCTGATCGCAAACATTTATTATTATTGCGTGACACTTGCTGAGCTACAAATAACAGCAATAAATGCTCGCGGTTACGCAGGCTATGAATGCAATCAAAACCCACCCACAAAATACAGCCATCAAAAAAGTTTACTTGTCTTAAAGAAAAACTGTTAATAAAATGATCGGTTTCCCTTTCTATTGTTTCGAAAACGGTTTAATCGCGTTTTATTAGGAGACTAAACGAGAAATTCGTGATCTTACCAATGTCAAACCCACGTACAATTGCGTGACAGTGATCTTCTGAAAGGCATAAGAGAAGATCTTCGATCCACAAGACGTAGTTAAGCCGAAGAGGCACTGTGGGGATAAGTCGATCTAATGGGATGCTGATTTTGATCTTGAAGTCATGCTCGAGCAAAGCGCAAGTCAAAGCTCGCAGCGCCTCAGGATTTTTAAAATTCAAAGTGAATCGTCCGGGTTTAGTTTCCTTCGTATGCTTCCTAAAGTAGTCGAATTTTTCACCAAGCACTTTGAAGTCTGGTGGAGCGTTTCTGTAGATATTTCTCGGGTGCATGAGGTCATTAAAGCCCATGATGTTCGCATGAGTCAAAGCAAACCATGGAAGCTTTGGTTGCGGCCATGTTGGACGTGAAAGCTGGGATGTAGTGTCCAGACCTCTTACGCGGTGTTTCGTTTCTGAGCCAGTCGAGCCAGTGCGCTCACCCACCTAGTACTAGAGGTTAAATTTTAATCCGGGTTCCTTCTTCTTTTATTCCAAGCATTTTCTCGGATAGCCTAAATTTCATCCGATGGCTTCGAGTCGTTTTCTCCTCTCAGCAACGTTACTGAGGGAGTAATAACGACTCGAAGTAATCGGATGAAATTCAGCTTATTTCTCGGATAATAATAATACTAAAGATAACGATAACGATAATGATGAAAATAATGACAATGATGATAACGATAATAATAATAATAATAATAATAATAATGATAATAATAATAATGATGATAATGAAACTAATAAATACATCCGATGCGTTTGAAGTGAATTTTTTAGCTATATATAAAATAGATAATGTTCAGAAAATTTGGGTTGAAAATAAAGAAAGCTGTGGAACAGGAAAACATATATATTGGCCCTTCAGCGTTCACGTGGTATAATATTAGCCTCCGATTAGGGGTATGACCGATTAAGTAGCTTAAAGTGTTTTCAAGAAGAATAAAAGTCCACTTAGTGCTGAAAATGGGTTTATTAATTACTTAAACAATGGCTTCTGACAAAGTGTTGGTTAAAAAGCAATTGCGTTCATATGCAACTGCCACTCCGCCCTTAAGTGGTAAACAAGCAAAAAATTCCCTTCAATTGACCACCGATCAAGTTGGTTAGGATGTTTAAGTTTAGCGTGCCGTTAGTACAAAACACATATACCAGTAGTATGATGCCTTGTATACTGTTGCAGCGGCACTGCATGATGCCTTGAGTCTAAGTTTGATTTATGACAAAATTGACATTGACCTTACTTCTAATAGGGATGTGGCTGGATCACGCATTTTCGACGTGACTATAATGGGATCATTTTCAATAGATTTACTAGAAAGTTTGCAAATTTTAGGATTTTATAAGGAGGGACAAAATGGGAAATTTTCGGTTATAAAATCAGAAAGTTGTTGACCGTCTACTGACATTAACATTGAAACCATTGATTTCTTCCGTGTTTTGGGATCCGAAAATTACATTTTGTTATAGGCCAAAAATAACTATAATGGGGTAGGGGCTCTAAGGGGGGCGCTGAATTACCTTTCTTCCGTGTTTGTCCTGTTAGCTACAGCCGGCAAGTTGTGATGGTTACGTATAAATAAACCCATTCTTTCTATCTTTTCTGGCAAAACAGAATTCGCCATTCTTAATAAAACAACCTTCGACGAATGAAATACTTTCAAGATCAGCTGTGATCAACACAGAGTTGCATTAGTATATATATATATAGAAGGATATAGTATATTGTAGTATATAGTAAAGTATAGTCTATATTAGTATATGTATAGCCCCTCACCTGTCTTTAACTTCTTCAGGCTAGTTAAGGGCTGCCCTTACCCGTTATTTTGCTCCTTTTTGGACGTGGTTATTTTGCTCCTTTTGAGATGACCTGCGGTAGTATTCTGCAAAAAAAAAACAAAAAAACTATGTGGTTTATTGGTTTTGAAGTAGAGCAAGAGACGAGTGCACCCCCTCCTAAAAAAGATCCTGGATCCGCCCCTGTGTGGTACAGTAAAACGCGTTTCAGTTTTCCCGCCTTCGTTGCCAACCTCTACATATCCCAGATACTTGTTACGCTACTTCTAAGTTAATGGCCTTAAATTAAGCAATGTCTCTAAAATCACGTGCACGAAGGTGCGGCATTCTGTCTGATCGATATTATTAATCGTTGTAGTGAGTGTCTTTGCATTTGAGAAGAGAACGTCGTGTCATCAAAAGACCCCTCAAAAGTAGAGTGCCTTTTTTCCTGATATCATTAGTATTGAACAACGATGAGTTTATCCCGTAAGTCTAAGGTGATTGCGATAGGCGTCTTATTAATAGTCGCAATACTTGCAGTAGTGACATTTTTGGCCGTATACTATACCTTACCAACATCAACTAACTTAACAGAAGTCAAACTGGAGAGAAACGAAACTCTGACATATCGAATGGTTCAAAACGTAGAGGTGAATCTGGGAGAAAAGCAGAAAGGTAAAGTTACTTAATAGTTGTTGAACAGCTCTACTCAGTTGTCTCAAACTTTTGATTCGGCCCCTGCATGCCAGCCTGCAAGACAAGCACGATACTTGACCACTCAGACCGTGTAACCGTACATAACAGAACAAAAGTAATGCATGAGAGAAGAATTCAACTTCTCTGCTATGTCACTGCGTTCCGCCGCAGAGAAAACGTTTAAGTTCTAATCAGCAGAAAGGCAACAACACGTTGAAATAGGAAGGACACGACCAGTTGTGTTTATTGGGGACGAGAAAAAACTAACGTACAAGAAATAAAGTAGTGGCGGAGAAAAACGAATTACATCACTGTAAACTACGAGACTAAACGTAAACAGCATACTAGAAAAATTACGCTCGGCAAGGTGCGAGCGGTAAAACTGGCTGTGTCGAGTGACTAACGCGAGAGGCGACAAGGCTTAAATACCGAGATGTGACGTAAAATCCCTAGAGGATAAAACTGCGGCCATAAATGCAAATTCCGAACATAAACACATGAATTTTCTCTCCTGTTATTGTGAAGCATTTCCAAAGTGTGCCGACTTTTTTGCGATTGACGAAATATAGTTCTCGTCTAGAGAAACGAATACTTCGGGGGGAGACTTTGTAATGGTATATGTACTAACAGGATTTTACACAATTTTCCTAATTTTTTTACTGAAAAGGATAAAATTGCCATTTAAATGCACATTAGTGCGACCCTTCCGCTTATATTAACGCCGATTGCAAATTAAACATTTTTACGTGGTGGAAATGTCTGAAGGTAGTTCGAACGCGTTAGCGACTTCCGTGTTTGTGTTATGTCTCCATCCCTGGCTTGAATCTTTGTTTGACGTCACTGGTAATCTTCAGTTCGGTATCACCAAATGCTGCCCAGGGCGAATGCTATTCATGTTTGTAAACTTTCCGAATACTTTGAACAAGGTCTTATACTTTGAACATAAGAAAAGAGTTCAACTCCCAGAGGACTGGTTTGGGACACCAACATGGCCGCCGTTTCATTGTTTTGGGACACCAATATGGCCGCCGTGACGTCATGTGAAAACACTCCATTGGCAGTTGACATTGAAAGTTAAACACGTTTTGGCGTTATTCAAATACCATAACTAGTTGGAGTTTTGAAAACGATTTTGCGTTTAAGTCGCTGTTGGTTCCACGTCCATCATTTCTATGGTTCAAAGCTTTTCTTCAATATAAACAAAAACTGTGAATACGGGCCAAGATGATGGGTTGGCCTTTTCTCTGGTCAATTCGCTAGTTTAATTTGTTCAGAAAACCGGCATCTCTAAAAAAATCCTGCGGAATAAACAGGGCAATTTAATTGAGACAAAGATATTATATTTTTTGATATTTCTTTCAGCGCGTAGTTTCCGTAAACAACACATACGTTAACCATTATAAGAGGGCGCTCATATCGTTAATGGTGCCTCTTGAAAACCGCAAGGAAAGAATAAAACCGTGACATTGCAATTGACAAAAAGCGAAGACAAGTTGACAAATGAAAAAGGCCAAATTTACAAACCCCTTTACAGTTTTAAGAAAAAAACACATCTTAGCCTCATTCTTTGGTTAAATCCGTATTTTAAAGAGGTTTTACTAACTTTCATCAGTGCGATCTAAACTAACTGTTAACTTTGTTTATGATGGTAGGAGCGAGTAAAGTCAAAATATTAAGTGCTGCCAGGTAATAGAATCGGCCGAGTGATTTCTGACATAAAAGTCTGAATGACAAACACAACTGCACCTGAACTGTAGGACAGAAAGTCTGCGATTCAGCACTAAATTATTGTATCAATTACAGCAAAATATGAGAAACGCAAGTAAGGGAATGTTAAATGCATGTAAGCGCAAACTTCCTTTTAAACTCTACTGACCAAGGGGAAAATGTTTTCAAGCTGAAGCTGGGTAAAATGCTCAATGAAGACTTTTTTCCCGTTGATTATGATTGGCTAGTATTAATAGCATGGGATCTGGTAGTTAAATGTTATTGGCTGAATGCATGTGACACCTGTTGCTTCATTTTCATTGGCTGTTTAACTGTCTGCTTTAGCATGTTCTATTACAAGCTGCTTGCGGTCATATGGGTCAAATTGCACGACTTTTCCCTATTAACAGTATTGCTTTTCTTTCCTGACCTATCAAGGTACCCTCCATGCAACAGTTGGAATCCGGGTCCTTAATAAAACGTCTGAGGGATACTGGTTCCTTATGAGATTCAACGTGTCACACGTGGGGGGGAATGAGGACATAGGTCGAGACGTCCAAATAAGGACAAACTACTACGTGGTTCGACTTCAGCGGCTAGATTCAAGGTGATTTTTAAAATTTTGTAGGTCAAAAAGGTGAAAAGAACACGAATCTATGTCGGGTGAAGGGGTAAGAGCAATGTGATTATGTAAGGATAAATGGCTCGCGGTTTCGATTAGCGGTAACTCACTGTTTTCTTAACTATTATTATCACAACCAAACAAACTCCCACAAAACTGCTAGTTACGCTAATAGGCACATTTAAACGACCATGAATATTATTATAATATGTTTTTTCATTGTGATTTTTTAAACATTTTGAAGCTCAAAAGATGAAAAGAACACGCAAATCTGCTCGGAGTTCGATTCGGCCGGCGGGGTGCATGTACGTGTCCGTCTCTGCTCTTACCTGAGTAAATAACAACCAATACAGCGAAGATATTAAACTGTTGGCATCAGGGCTGGATAGTTACATCAGTGGCACTGTTGAAGTTTAACTTTGGAAGCAATGCAGTTGCCAAACCCCAAAATTTACTTACGGATAAGGAAGATAAGCTGTAAGCCCTGTGTCACTAACTTTCCACTGAATAAATTATGAGGGACGTTAAAGAACCCACACACTGCCTCCGAAAGACTAGGGGACGTAGTTCCCGGTGTGGTGGTCTATCTCAAATTCACACTCACGTACTCATTCCTTCATTACTTGTGAACTGCTACATAAAGCAGCAGTGGCAGATCCAGAAGAAGCCTCCCTCCCCCTCCCATTATTTTTAGACCAAAGTGATCATGAGGCCCGAAGGGCCGAAACCAACCAGTGTTGTAAATTATCCCTGAAAAACCCCTAGGGGAGTGGGTAATATGATATTTACAATCTTCATACGTCTATATTTTAGAACAGCAAACAATGGAACTGTAAGATTAGTTGAACTTTATGGGAATTATTCCACCAGTGAAGAGCCATTGCGTCTTGTGTTTGGCATTCTTGAACAGTTACTCCCACCACTCAAGCGAGACCTGTACGAAGACGTGGATGGTATAAAGGGGGCTGGATTCAACTCGATTCACCCTGAGGAGTCCCTTCTACTGCCACGCCCAGTAAAAATGCATCGAGAAGCAAACACTTCTGATAAGGATATCATCCGGGTAAGGAATCATTTTAACAACTCAGATTTCACAAACACATCGTCAGAGGTTGATATAGATATGAATATGACTTACTCTGATTTTGCAACTGTCAACAAGAGCAGCGGAATGATACTTGAGAGTAGCTCTCATTTTTATACAGAGTTGAACTTAGGAGAATTTATTGACAACAATGGAGGTCGGAATGATACGATATCAACCATAACGAAAGTTAATTTGACAAGGCACCTGTGGCTCGTAGAAACAGAAAATTTCGATTTTTTGAAGATATATCCAAATGTTTTTGTGAAGCTTAAAGTTTCAAAAGCGTCCACTTTTTCACTCAACGAAACTGAAAAGTTTCCATATAATGCTACTAATTCAAGCGAAACCCCGACAAACTTTTCCGCGCCGATGCAACAGCACAACTCAACCAACTCGTCAATCACTTCTTTGAAACGCGTTCGAAGAGCCAACGACGAGGACAATAAAATTATTCGTGAAATATGGGCAAAAACGGAGCCCTTGTACCTTGGTGCCGAGGAAACATTTGCGCTGTTTGTGAAAGAAGTTCTTGGATTCAAAGTGAAGGGAAGTGCTATATTCTCTGTAAAGTTCGGCAGTGAAGGTCTTAAAGAGGTAGGCGTCACCTTCAAGCTATCAATCGGAGGTAAAAACCTGCCGGCCATACTGTCTATTAAGTACTCAAGATCTCAATTGCAAGGAAAGCCTGTACGTTCTGGACATCAGTGGCAAATAAAGATGGTGAGACTTTTTTTAAACATCTATTTATTGTGTAATTCTTTGTCAGATGATTGGATGTAATAACTTATACATTTCCATCGTTAGCTAAGCCCTTCGTCAGAGCAATAAGTGGTTGGGCTATTCCGCTGTGGGCAGGATTTACAAAGCCCTCCTTAGTTTATAAATATGATTTGTTTGCAAGCGTCAGGCTCTATTAAAAGTGAGAGATAATAAACCAAAATGATGAAGATATTCTCTCGTTATACCCTAAGGCTAAATATATATGTATTCATCTTTTTTAAAACATCAGAACAGGTGAAGAGCAGTTTTATTCTCTCAAAGTACTGACAGGACTAACCGATACATACTGTTTAGTTTATTAGAAGAGTATCTTTATCTTGTTTAGAGTGTTTCTGTTCCTGTACACGCCCTGAGACTTGGAGTGGACTTTGCCTTGAAAGTCAAAGTTAATATCAAGCTGAGCTTTCCTCCCTCTAAGAATTCACTTAATCCCGTCAAACTAACCGTGCAGGTATGTACAACTCGTCATAATAATATTGCTCCCCTACTCTCGTTTTCCACACATTGCGCAGAATCAGGTTAAGATGATAACCGCGACATGATATAAAGGTTATTGGGTTGTTACGGGATGCTTAAGGATTGTTTAAGCTTTAAGTTGGTGGAAGAGTTTTTTTGTTGTTTGACGTTGGTCAGGTTTTTGTGCTTAGCGCAGGTACTAGCACAATGGTGACGAACCTGACGTTTCCGCAATTTTCTAAGCATCTGTATTATAAGGCAACTTGCTTATTCCTTAAGTTGAATTGTCCTTTACAAACATAAGAGATGAAACCTAGACTGTTCATAGTCCCAATTTTTCCGTTAGCGTGTAGATTGAGTATTCACCGTCACTGGCAGCCATTTTGTAATTGGTATCGAATGTAACGAGGACGAGGCATCGGGGTTAATAGCGCAATGGCAGCTTCTGGCCTGCGTGGCAAGCTTTAAAAGGGAAAGGGGAAGGGTAAATTCGGGCGCGCGAGAGGCGCTTTCCCTTCCCCTTTTAACGCCTGTCACACAAGCTAGTCATATTCAAGTTAGACTTGGTCAAGATGGCCGCCTGCAGTGCTAGTTCTCGACTATCTTACGGAAAAATAGTCGACTGAGAACGGTCTACGGCAAACCCAACCAGGAAGACATTTCTCCTTGCTAGAAAATTAAAACAATGAAAATGTAAACCCTTTAACTATTCAATTTAGTTACAAGAGGTTTATTCTGTCGACAGATTGAGCCTTTTTCCGAAGTCACGGCAAGTATTAAAGGCTATATATCGGCCCACGCTATCCGTGCTGGTGCCTATGGAGAAGGCACATTAGTGCGAATTGGGCTTCCTGTGACCCTATCCTATTGTGACAAAAGGTGGTGTATAACCCTTTGTTTGAGTTTGAAAGCACTGGAGCTAGACGCCGGAATTTTTTATCAGTGGTGGAACGTGTGGAAATGGGACTGGGGAGAGCGGCGTACAATTCATGACTTCGGAAAATGGGCTGCGTTACAAAAGAACTTGAAGTTGTTTAATAAGTGTACTGCGCCACCTACCCCGAAGACGGACCCAAAGCCTAATCCTAATCCTGATCCCGAACCTAAACCCAACCCAGCTTCAACAACAGCAACCTCAACGACATCATCGATCGCACCAAGTATGGCATCATCTAACAGCTCAGTTACAAGAACAGAAACAACAACTAGCACAATAACGACTACATCTATACTGACATCGACGGTAACTGTTTGTACACCATCACCATCGTATGTATTCACATTAGCAGAACGCCCTAGCGCAACGATTTCTTCTCTAACAAATGCATCAAGTATGGAAGGCAAATCAAGAAAATTTACCACAACTTCAGAGGCCTCAATATTTTCGTTAGAAGTAATTCCAGCAGTTACGAGTATGGAAGCTAAATTGTCCATAGCTACGGAGGGTATGACTTCATTGACTTTGCAAGAAACAACACCACTGCCACAAACAAAGACTACAACATCAGATGCAGAAACTAGAACAGCAACAGCAGCAAATACATTGGCCACAGAAACTACAGCTGGAAGCAATTCACCTGCTACCACACCAGGAACGAAAACAACGGAGACTAAAACAGTTTCTTCGTCGACAGCTAGTATGCCAAGAAGTTTGCTAAACGTTACACCAACAACAGGTACAGAAGATACGCCCACAACGAATGTGTCAGCTTCAAACACTTCAGCTACACAAACAAAATTAACGCTAACATCAGGGGAAGCAACCTCTGCACAAGGTTTACCTGATCTCACAGTAAGTGCTCCGGCAACAGTTACAGTGGTTCAGGTAACAAGGATGGATACTGCTAAGGCATCCGTCACAAATACAGCGACATCCACTCCTTTATCAAAAGTCAGTTATCCATCAACTTTAGTCACACCAAACAAACAAGTAACAACTACAAACACTGACGGAATCACACCGTCAACAGCTTCCGTCATTACAGCTATTACATCAACAGTGGCGTTAGAGGCTGCGAAAACATCATCGACAAAAACTCTGGACATTGGATCAACTAAATCGGCATCACCAACGGCAACTTCATCAACGAAGACCACAGCGATACTAACCGTTAAAGGGACAGCGGCAACTCCATCTACAGTACTAACTGCAGCCACAGTTGGATCTACAGCTACAGAAATCATTTCACCGGCACCAGAAAACATGCCATCAATAGCCTTAGATTCTTTAGCTACAACGATCAACTCAGAGGCATCATCAGTGATTAAAGCGACTACATCAAGAAACGCTGAAGCGTCTACACCAGAACTTACCTTTATACTGACCACATCGGCTACAGCTACTACACCAACACAAGAAGTTCCTGTCACTTTTCCCGAGGCTGTGGATTGAACCAGCAATTGAGAACTAACATTTTCTGATGTGGTCTAGCGGAAACAGTAACTGGTCATGCTAATTGTAATACTGAACTGTAAATTCATACATGCCACGACAACGCATCGATTCGTCCCTTCAATTTGTCACTGCACAGGCAGCCCAAGCAAACTATTTGTGGGTTCGGGCTTCAGAGGTCATTTGGTCGAAATATACTAGCATTACTAGTGTATTATCTGATGCCAAATAAATGCAAAAAGTCTTAAAGATATATATGAAGTCTTCTTGTTTGTCTATCGGTACTAGTAGCCTTTAAGATAACGAAAATCGATATTTCTTGCATTATTACATGTGATTCGGGCCCTTATTGATCGAATTTTATCACATGTATTCGAATCTACAACGCTAAGGAAGAAAAAATCATGATCACGCAAAATATTGATTCAAAAAGCTCCCTTACCTTTAGTTCATAGCCACTCTGTGTCCTACGGTCGGTTTAAACGCCGTTTAGTCGACTTTCCTTCCATCGAGTACTGAACACTATAAGCCCTTCTTTTATAGTGTTCAGTACTCGATGGAAAGAAAAGGGGGGGGGGGGTGCAGGAAGTGGGCGGATTGAAGTATTGAAAGAACAGGCTCTTCCCTTCCCTCCCCCCCCACCACTCCAAACCAACCCACACATGCACATTAAAAACCTTTAATATCCCTCCGTGGTCCCTGATCAATCGATGAATCGATTTCATTTACCAAACACTAACTCAGCTGACTTACTCTCTCATTCACTAACCCACTCACTCGATCGATGAATCAATTAATCAACCAATCAATCAGACAATCAATCATTCAATCAATCTGTCTATCGATCGCTCGCTCGAATAAATGAATGAATGAATCAATCAATCAATCAATCAATGAATTTGTCATGATGCAATAGGTAACGCGTTGCCCTATAGCGTCAAAGGTCTGGGTTTCGACTCCCCCGAAACGAAACTTTTTTCTCTTTTTTCTTGGTCGTTTTGTTTTGTTTTGTTTTGTTTTTAGACACAAATTGTTATTTTTTTTACAGACTTAAATTGTAAGTTAATTATCAGCTTTCATTTCTAAAATAATTAACCCACAAGTAAGCCATAGACACCCTTTGATTTTTCTTTTGTAATATTATTGTTGCATTTAGTGTGACAATTTCCCCCGGGGACAATTTACTTCACGCTGATAAATTTCCTCGATAATATATTTATCAGTCATACTGGTCACCAATTCTGATAAAGAATTCGAAAACCTTTTCGCAGAAGAAACCTTGATGCCAACTATCGACAACCTACCGTAAAATTCCGAAAATAAGCCTCGGGGCTTACATTTTTCAAAGGCCCTTTTTGAGGGGCTTATTTTTGGAGGGACTTAAATGCGGAGGGAAATTTGCGTTTCAAAATCGATTGAACTAGCTTGTAGTGGGAAGGAGATTTACCATTTTTGCTTTGTTTTACTTTGTATTCGAGGGCAAATTCCAATTACAAGCCCCCGCGGGGTTTATATTCGGAGGGGCGATTTAAGGGAGGGTTTTTTGCGTTACGATTTTGAGGGGCTTATACATGGAGGGGCTTATTTTCGGAATTTTCCGGTACCTTTCAATGATTACTTGGTTCGAATAAGTCAGCGCATGCTCAATAGCTGTCTAAAGACTGCTGGTCCTTTACCAGTCGCCCTGATTTAGAATCTTCTCCTTTGCTTGCCTTGACAACACACGGGTACTTGATATGCCCAGTTGGTATATATGGGGTCTCCTGTGAACAAAACATATAGTTACGTTACGTTTTAACTAAATCGACACCCAAACTCTCAATCAAGAGAACTTGCTCACAGGTCACCCATGCGACCGTGGCGTTTTGAAACTAGTCTTCAACTCTATACACTACAAATCAAATGAATTAAGATCTGTTTTAGCCCCCAAATTGGGGCAATTTCACTGAGTAAAATCAGAACCATATAACCCCAACTAGTTATGGCATTTGAATAACGTCAAAACGTGTTTAACTTTCAATGTCAACTATCAATAAGACCTAAATAAGTTCGAAGTATTGCGCATTCGGAAAGTTTACAAACATGAATAGAATCCGCCCCGGGCAGCATTTGGTGATCCCGAACTGAAGATTACCAGTGACGTCAAACAAAGATTCAATACATGTATGCTTCTGGTAAAATACAGTCGTATTCAAGCGAGGGATGGAGACATAACACAAATACGGAAGTTGCTAACGCGTACGAACTACCTTCAGACTTTTGTACCACGTAAAAATGTTTAATTTGTAACCGGCGTTAAGCAGAAGGGTCGCACTAATGTGTAGCTAATTATTGTTGAAGGCCTGCAAAACACCCCGTGTCTTTATAGTTTGTATATACTAAGGAAACGCGATTCTGCTTCTCACGACTTCGTGCCCTTTTTTGTTACTGGTTCAAATGAGCAGAGAACAATCCATGTAGGACTGAAAATGCTGGTGCTCCGAAACCTTCGTACAAATGTAATGACAGTGTGCTTACTTAGTGCGAGGTCATTTGTTACTGGTTCACATGAGCAGAGAACAATCCATGTAGGACTGAAAATGCTGGTGCTCCGAAACCTTCGTAAAAATGTAATGACAGTGTGCTTACTTAGTGCGAGGCCTTTGCTTTATTCATATACATCTTAGCCACTAGAAGGTCGGTTATGGTCACTGGAGTGTCTCGCTCAGGTCCGTTGACCAGCTTATCATTGGCTAGACTTTCTAAAAGTCCTTTAATTATTTTTTTTGTTCTTGGTTGGTTATATCATTTAAAAGGACTTTTCACACCTGTTTGGCGCTAATTCACCGGTCGAAAATTCCACCGGTAACGTCATAACAATTATCCAATAGGAGAGTGAGTGATACACAGCCTCCATTGTCAATCAGTTTTTCCCGCGTAAATATCATGATTTAAATCCATTCAGGTGAAATAAGTCGACATCGCGACTTTTTCGCTCTCTTGGTGGCTGCCCGACCTCATCGCTCGTTTATTAAGAACTTATGACAGGTCGACTTTTAGCAAGTCTAATCATGGGCCTGACTATCAGGCTTTTCTGAGGGGAAGAGAGAAGCAAAAAATCGCCTCTCCCCCAACCTCTAGCTAGTCAGAATGATGTTAGCTCAATATTTGTCACCCTTGAAAGGATTTTGATGCTAAAGGTGCTCAGTTCACCGTAACATAGCACATGGTTGTAGTAATGGAGTGGAAAGTAACGGATTTGAGCATATTCTGAATTGGTAAAACAATAAAAGGCACTTGGTTTGAGCCTCGTTTGAGCTACGCACAATGCAGGTCACGTGATAATATTCTCGAGAATTGTTTCGTTCAGGCCCAGTCCACACGTATCCGGATATTTTTGAATCCGCAACTGTTTCTTTCTGGATATGGCTTCCGTCCACACGTATCCGGTGAATCTGGCATACGAATCCGCAACTTTTTTAATCCCCTCTAGAGAGTGGAAATTTTTTAATATGCCGTGAAATCCGAAATCGTGTGGACGATTAATGCGGATATTTTTATCCGGTGACGTAACAATATCGAGCCCAGTTCTTTACCGTGAATATTGCGTTCAAGATGGTGACCACGACGCATGATCTGTTGCCAATTTTTCCATAGGAGCCCTGGGTACCAGAGTGAATCCCGATTCGGGTGGACGGACAAATTCGATTTGAATACCCATACGCGTGGACGTGGAAATTTTTGAAACCGGAAAAGAAAAAAAAGTTGCGGATTAAAAAATATCAGGATACGTGTCTTATATGTACGCATAATTAGACTGAACTTAAAGGGCCAAATTTCCCTGAGACCTACATTAGGAAAACAAAACCTACAAGCTAAAGAGGTCCATGTACTCTAAGTCTGGCAAAAAAAAGTTTCTTGAATTTTGGGCAAGTTATTGACAACTTAGGCTTAAAAGGTTCTTAATTAGGTTCTTTCATTTCCATGAAGGGGATATAGTTATTGATTATCAACTGAGCAAAGTAAATAAACTTCTTGGGTTTGGTCCTTAAATATATAGTATTTATTCACAAAGAGGGATTTTACTTAACAGAATATTCTGAAAATTTCCTGATCGTTTGACCACAAGCAAAAATAATAGAAGTAGTTTAAAAAATGATGTTAAATCTTCGCTTTCCGTAACAAAGCGTTCTGAACCATTAAATCAAACAAACTTTCATCGGTAAAACCAGAATTCCTGGCAACTACATTAAGAAAACTCTGAAGACCAAACGAACAGAACAGGTTACATTCCAGAAAAAATGGATTTCCTTCGAGGTCTACCCGGAAGTCGAAAAGGCCAAAGTCTTGCAGGTCTAACTCTAGAAAAGCTCGACGACTTTGTGACTGGATGCGGTTTATCAGTTCAGCTTCCTTTGCGGGATCAAGAAACCAAGTCTTACTTTCTGGTGCCTTGCCTATGTAAAGATAGATGAAAAAGGTAACAACTCTCAATGTAAAATCATCTTGATAGTTTAATATTATTTAATACCAATGACTGGCCCGACGGGAGAACACAGACCTATTTCTGTCTGTCGCCTAGATCTCTCCGCTGAGAGAAAAGCGAGAGAGAGAGAAAAGTTTATCTTACTAATTCCTTTAACCAATAGGCCATTTGCACGATGACATCATTTTACTACTACGACCAGAATCCTTCAGGGTTTTGCTTTCTTGTGCGAATTAGGGCTTTTGTTATTCAAACCTCACTGGGATTACAAAATTTAAATATGAAAGGAAAAACGAAAAGGATTCTGGTCTTAGTAGTAAAATGACGCCATCGTGCAAATGGCTTATTGATTTGTTTGGGGGTTTACCGAAGTGTACATGTGACTGATGGTACATATTGACTGATCATAACTCAGTGTTGGACAATTAATGAATTAACAAGTGTTGATATGAATTTAATGGATCAAGCCAAGATTTATGATTTATTTTGAATTTGTTTATACGAATGAAGAAAAATGTGATACTTACAAATAGGTAATCCTTTTTCATCGCAGAGTAACTTATCCTCGGTTTTACGAATGCCATCCTGACGTACGTTGAATTCTATACACGACAAGGCCTGTATATCTCCAGTTTTTTCTGATTTGACTACAGCGCACCGAATCTCTCGTCCTTCTATGAATCTGTACAAAAACGGCACAAACATGCTCAGCTCAAAGATGCACAGTGCATATACAGCTTTTTGGAGAAAGGCTGTCGGAAAAAAAGTGCTCGCGACAATCCCGAAAGGTATTGTAGGTGATTTTGAGTTCACTGTCTTCAAAGGAATTTGAAAGAATATGGTTCTAGAGCCTATGGATGTATGTTTGCGAGTGCTAAAGGAAAGCAACAAAAGTAGGTTCGACAGCTACATTGTCGAGAACTGTAACCTTCGGGATTACCGCGTGCATATTTTTTCCGATAGCCTTTCTCGAGATAGCTGTTTAGCCAAAATGTTTGTATCCATTTCGCTTTATTTATTTATTTTCGATTTGTGCCTCTTTTTCTTACCGTACCTGTCAACGAGGTAAGCTTTTTCCAAACTCAGCTGGGATTTAAGAACATTGAGGGATGACGTTCACGTGCGTACGATGCTTTCCGCACTCTCCCTTTGAAATGGAGTTTCCCTTTTTATTAATCATTTGGGCCACTTTTCTGACAGTGAATTCTTTGCGGGGAAGAAAAATTTTAGTGCTAAATGCCGAAACTTTGGCCGTGATAAGGATCAGCTACTGACTGTCAACCCAAATATTCTCTTTTTAATTAAAAGCTTAAATGTTTGGAATTGGGAATAGTTTTTAAAACGCGAAAAACTGATAAGACAAGAACCTACCTTTCAATGATTACTTGGTTCGAGAAAGTGAGCGCATGCTCAATTGCTGCATCTAAAGACTGCCGGTCCCTTACCAGTCGCACTGCTTTAGAATCCTCTCCTTTGCTTGCCTTAACAATACAGGGATACTTGATATGGGCAGTTGGTATTGGGTCTCCTGTGACACGAGAAAGAATAATCGATATCGAAACTTTTGCTGTCCTTATCAGGATACTGTGTAGACTTTATCAAGAGAACACCAGAAAACGTTGTCGCATTATGACAGTTGATCCTAGAGTCTCTGGCCGGCGTAAAAACGTAGGCGTCATACCGCAACTTATCATGGGAAGTTCTTAGTTCATCGTTGCCTGACTTCGCAATGGCAAAAAACACGAATGACGGTGGATTAAGTTTTTCCTCTGATTAACTGGTGATATTTCATAAAATTTTTAAGATACCATTTGTTTCGTGGACTTATCGCCGTAAACAGACATTCGTCATGCGATAAAGTTGTATTGTGGAGTTCGGTTAGAAGTCTTTATGTACGGAGAGCGTCCGATGGGTTTGAGGCTCTCGTGTTGTTTGTGCTACGAACTATTCTGTGAACTTCAGTTCTATCAACTCGAAAAGAGGAGAGTGGATTGTGGAAGTGATACCCCAGACCTCGACTCAAGAGAATTTGCATACAGGTTACCCATGCGGATGTGACGCTCAAAAATTAGGCTTAAACACTATCATGTCTGTCCCATGTTAACAGTTGATAGACGTATACCTTTGTTAAGAACCAATCCCTCGGCACAAGAGACATTGTTGTAGGCAAGCAAAACTCCCCGTGTCTTTAGTTTGTCCATGCTAAGGTATCGCGACTCTGCTGATCCGCCTATGAGAGGAATATCCAGCGCTTCGAAAAGAGCCCTTTAACAAAAAGAACAGGGGTTCAGCAACAATACAATACCGACACTAGGTCGAGCAGATGAAGAATAAAGGGGTCATTTTCTAAAGAAACTGTGGTGTTGCGTCGGGGGTCAGTGAAATGCCAAAAATTAGTTTTATCAACTGAGTTGATAAAGTCGATTGGCCACCGGGGGGGTTGAGAAGCCCTGGAGGGGTTACCCCTACAATGCCCTATATTAAATGGCCCATAAGGGGAGGCTCCTACCAAAAGGGTACCTTTTTCAGGCTTCAGGTTAATGAGGTATATCAAAAGGTAAGGATTTAACAAGTTGAAGTATACGAAAGGAAAGGGAAATCTGCCATTGCGGTCTGTAAAAGGATAAAAAATTGAGAACAGGCACATTTTGTGGCTGTGAAAAAAGACAAGACACTTCCTGTTTCAGTGATTTTGTTTCATATTTTACGGTGTATTTACAGCAGTTAAAATGAATACCGCGTTCTAAACTCGTATGTGAAAGGGGTACCATTTGTCAAAAAAAAAAAGAAAAAACGCATACTAAAGGGGTACCTTTTCTGGTATATAAAAGAGTTGGGGGTTGGAGCCTCCACGTATAAAATTGTGTTGAGTATCCCCCTCCCCTGGGTTGAGAAGCTGACATTTCCAGCGCTAGCCGCCTTTTTCAGAGTGAGTACGGGGTTTGCTGACTGTGTGTTTTATATACCGGATGTTCGAGCTATGCTATTGGCGAGAACACTACGGTAGCGTGAAGAGAGAAAATAGAAATTAGTTACATGAAAAGCGTTTGATTCCGTGGGGATAAAGAGGTTGAGCAAACAAAGTTTTGTGAGTGCACAAGGCACTGTAGCATAAACCAAAATTCAATTTTCTCATATGAATTGTATAATGAAACACTTCTTTCAACTTGGCAGACAATTTTTCATCTCGTGGACGCACTTTTATATGTTCACATTCATACAAAAATATACGCCTTGTGAAATTACGGCACAAGCTGCACAAGTTCAGTTTTCTTGTTCAATACCCATCTTGTGAAGGCAGCGTAGTGGGAGACGAGACTATGAGAGTAACAAGGCCTTTAATCATTCCTTTTACCAGCTTAGATTCTCCTGTCGCATTATGGCACATCAGCAAGACCGGTAGCTACCAGCGGTAGCTTCTCCTCTGCTTATCTAGTCGCACCCCATTTCCCACTCAGTTATGAAATTTTTGTCCCCGGCAAAAATACTTAAAATCATCATCATCATAATTATCACCATTATCATCATCATCACTGTCGCGTCGTCGTCATCATCATTATCACCATCATCATCATGAACAGGAGCCCATCAAATGGAGCCTCCATCTCCATTAATTTCTTGAGTCAACCCTTTCCCGAGTAGATTTATAAATAGAACGGCTAGTTTCCCGCGAAAAGTGTCATATTTCCGTGAGTCTCGTGTGTCACCGCACCGTGAAAAAATAAAATTAGATGAAGTCGAACTCAGAAGCTCGTCCTTCGACCGTTTTCCTTTTTCCCTTAACGTCCATTTTTACAATTTTACAGCCGCTGGGATCTGGGTATCATGAAATAAAAGTTAATGAATTACTCGACTGAGACTGAGCATGAAGCGATGGGACAAAGACAGCGAAAGGGTTTATCTTTGCGAGTGTTCTTTTTTTTTGCCGTCATACATCCCACATTTAAGCATGGACCTTGAAAAGAGTCGACGATTAAACGTTCTGTGGAGGATTTGGAACTTTTCGATGATCAGCGCCGAAAAAGTGCCCGGATCATTTGATTTTTGTCATCACCGTGGAGTGGATAAGCACCGCGTGCAAAAGCGATGACCTAAGTAGCAACTAACGAGGAATGCTTCAGTTCCGAAATTTGAGAAATTGCAGTCTTCCTTTACAACTGACTTGTATCACCATGAGAGTTGCCTGATAAAACTGGCGCTTGAAAAGTTGACCAGAAGACAACAGTTGCTCGACCGTGAAGCTAACTCAAAAGTAATTTGCTAACAGAGGAATTTGTGACATCGCGCTCCAGTCCAAAGACCCACTTATCTCAAGAAAAACAAAATGGCTGGTATCTGTGCCAAAAGAATTATGACTGACTAACAGGACAATTCTCAGCAGTTAATGTAGAAGTTTAGGCTCAATTCCTTCCTTCGAATTCGCATCTGTAGATCACTTTTGTGCAAGAAAACAATGGCTGGGCCCGGCGTTACAACATAGCAGGGAATCATCACACTAGCTGACGGACAAAACCATCACAAGGACTACAAGCATTTATTCAGATAAACGCATTTCGGAAAAAAACCTTGAAAAACTAGAAATTTGATTAATATTGAGTCATTTAGCCGAAATAAGAACCTTAACGCTCAAAAAAATTGGCTAAAAAAAAAGAATCCTGTCAGAACTACAGCCGCAGGTAGTAGTTAATCATTGCCTCTTAATTTGAGACAAGCAACCAAAATTAAGCTTAACACAGTCAGAGTTTAAAACTCTCCACAGTATAATCTACCCGCTAGAAAGAAAAAAAAGAAAATCTCTGAGAGATGAAAGCGCTAAAGTCACGTTTCACTAGCTTATGATTGTGTTTGGCCTGTCAACACCGAATTTCCTGCTGTTTGATGAAGTACAATAGCAGTGTCATTTCGTCGTTGTGATTGGCTCTTCCCACCGTCGGCGCGCGAACTCTCCCCTGGGAACCGTTCTAATTATAAATCTACTCGGGAAAGGGTTGACTCCAAGGGCTTGTATGGGAGATGGAGGCTCCATTAACCAATGAGAATAATAGGACAGAGAGTAGGGAATCTTAGAGCGTTGGCCGGGATCTGTGATTAATTTCATCATGAATAACCAATGAGAATAATAGGACAGAGTGTAGGGAATCTTAGGGCGTTGGCCGGGATCTGTGATTAATTTCATCATGAATAACCAATGAGAATAATAGGACAGAGTGTAGGGAATCTTAGGGCGTTGGCCGGGATCTGTGATTAATTTCATCATGAATAACCAATGAGAATAATAGGACAGAGAGTAGGGAATCTTAGGGCGTTGGCCGGGATCTGTGATTAATTTCATTCATTTTAATCGATTGTTTAAAACGTCATCAAGTCCACTTGCTCCTGCATTAAAGGAAACAATGCAATTACAGTACTTTAATGATGACTGTTTAAATTCTTTCTTGAAAACATTGAATAAAAGTTTTCAGGCCTCTCCAGAAACAAACTTCCGATTAATTTCATGCCCTTAGTTGGTCTAAAAACATCTTTGGGGAAATGCTGAGCGCTAGACTGGGCGTTTTCTTCTCTGTCCTATTATTCTCTCTTGGAATAAGATAAAAGCTATTATTCTGACCTGTAAGTTGTCATTCCTTTCAAACATAGAAAGTGGAGCAGTGTCAGATCAGGTTTGACGACAGATTTTATGTGCTGTAAGGCGGCTGTGATGTCCATCTTCTCCACATTGTTTTCTCTTTCCTCTAATCTTTCCACGTCTACAATATCAGAGAGTTTTTCCGCAAATGACCAGGTGCCATCAGGTCGAACTAGCGCGTAGGTAAAGGAATACTTTCCAGATCCCGTGCCATCATCAAAGGAGCCTCCATAAAACATATCCAAGGAGAAGCTGTAGTCATCCGAAGGTGAACCCAAAACATGCAAAATCTAAAACAGTAACGAGAGAAGGAGCCGCTTTTTATAAAGATCCATACAAATGGCTCCAACTTTTAGAGGAGATACCTGTGACTATTTTCGATTTTGTTATAAGCACTTGTTTACTTTAATTTTTCTAAAAGGGAACTGAACTATTACTAACACCACAGCAGGTATAAAGGTCCGTGTTAATTAACCACGCAGAGAACATATCACAATCATATGCACCCTATTCCAAAATGATGGCAACACGACTTCAGTTTTCTTTCATATTTATAATATTTAGTCCTCTTTACTTTGCCTGCACCGGCTAAATTTAAAAGTAGGTTAATCGAAGCATGGAGGGTTATTTTGGAATAGCACGGTGATGGTGTTTTACTACCTTCAAGGTTTCTTTCATCATTTTCTTCTGTTGTCAGTTAATTCAGAAGTCTAAAGTCTGCAAATACAAATTATCCAGTATAATTAATGGTTAGAGTAAATGCCGTCTCCGTAACTGTTTATACAAAAAAGAAATCAATTGCATGCCTTGAGGTTTTTACGCCCTCTGCGATGGGGTTTTTTAAAAAGCCTTGCAATTGTTATGGACCTTACTCTCTTGATTGTCCTTTGGAAGGATCGGCCCTTCCTTCCCCACAACACCACCCCCCCCCCCCGACCCCCCACTCTTATTACTGGACTACATAAGTATGCGGCGGATCAAAATTCGGATCGAAGCGTTACAGGCTCTACCGAACCGATTGCATGGCAGCCTGAGAAAACAGCGCAGCCGACATTTGGAGACGTCACCACCAGTTAGGCTGTTTTCTTAGGCTAGGCTAATCAATAGCGCATCAATAGTCTCCGTCTCTTCGGGGAGGATCAAAGACCGGACCCCGGAGACGGCGGAAATCGAGCCTAACTTTAATGCAGACAAAGTAAAACAGTACGGGCTGTCCAGGAGGCCGTAACTCGGATCATTTGAGGTCGACTTGAGCCATCTCGAAATGGGTGACCCTAAGCAGTGTATCCTGGATCCATCGTGGTAATTTTTCAAATTTTGCTGCCGCTACTTATCGCTGCAATCGCTCAGCTGGAGAGTGGCGTCCTCATAATCGATGCGATCACCACGATCGCTGAAATTTATCTCAGTGACCGCTACGATATCTGTAGGAGGGTTTCCATTTCAGTGATCGCAGCGATCGTAACGATCATATGGAAGTCAGGCTTAGTTATCGACCAGAACCAGTTTTTATAGCAAAATGAACGCTTCCAAGTGAAAGTACCAACGTAGAATAAGACCTAAAAATAGCCTGCAGGATGAATAAGACCGAAGATCGTAACAAAACTACACTATTATTCGTGACAGTAAGTAACAACAATTCAACATACATACAGAAACCTGACATACCAATGTTTTGAAGTTTGATCGGTTGTAAGCTTGTAGCCCCCGCCTTGTAACTGAACGTAGAAAACAGAGTGAGCGTGCTTTGATACGTGTTTTATGAATATTCTGAATTGTTAATTATATTATGTAATGTGCATTTATTCAACCTGAATGGTCAGCGTGCATTTTTCAGCCTTTTTTCGGCACTGGTTCACATGAGAACAATGATCGTGTGTGTAGTGCGAGGTCATAATTTTCTAGATGGCTAAGAAGCGAAGCCTTTGCCCGTTTCATAGGACAGTAGGTCATTGTGTGGTCACTGGGGTGTAACAAGAGGTCATTATTTTTTTAAAATAATTTTCACCTCACCGAAGTGACCTGCTCATCATACTATAAGGCCTTCCTTAAGGCAAGAGCGAAGCCAAAAATCTTCTCTCGCCTAACCCTTATTTAGGTTAGCTCATCATTTGTGACACTCGATAGGATTTTTAAGCTTATCGTAACAGCACGCTCCCAACACCGTAACACAGCACGTGTATGCGCATATTCATAAGGTAAAACAAAGAGAGACTCACGGTTTGAGTTATGTGACAGTTATTTCTTTTTGCATTTATTTTCTTTTGGAAAGCACTTTAGTTTGTGAAGAAAGACGTCATAATTACCATAACTGATAGGCTTGAAAAGATTTAAAAAAAGGGAAAAGGGAAAAGGTCAAGGACCCTCAAAATATTCGCAATCTTCTTTCTCATTCTCATATGTAATATTAAGCGTTGCTTATTTTTTAAAAGTGTATTATCATTTCATTTTATTCTATTGATCAGATTAAGGCACAATTACAATACCACAAAAAACATTTCAATAAAGTGTTTTCACATGACATCACGGAGGCCATGTTGGTGTTCCAAAACAATGAAACGGCGGCCATGTTGGTGTCCCAAACCAGTCCTGTGGGAGTTGAACTCTTTTCTCTCTTTTGTTCCAATAAAGTCTCATACATGCTGGCAACGTGAGTGAAAACGCTCTATAAAGCCTGGTTTTCACTAGCGCATAAGCAGAAGCACGTATGTAAGTAAGTGAAAACTGGGTCGACATAAGCATGAGCATAAGCACAAGAAAAACGGACAAATTCGTTCTTCTTGTGCTTGTGCTTATGCTTATGTCGTAGCTTTGACTAGTGAAAACGGGATCAACATAAGCACAAGCATAAGAACAAGGACGTGGACCAATCATAGGTCACTTTGACCCCCGACCTCATGGGAACATATCAAAAGCAATATGGCGGACGAAACGTCCACTTGTTTATCATCGGGTTGAGGAGAGCTTGTATCGCGAATAGAGTCAATAATGCCATTCTGCGCGTGCGTATGTCCATGCGCTAGTGAAAAACAGGCGTAAAGATTTACTGACAAAATAAAGCTAATTGCATCAATACTGTATGCTGAATCAGTACAGTAAAACAGGCCCCGCTTGTTCAAGCGTTGGAAGGCGCTATCCACTATCCAGTATTACGAAAACTAATTGCGCTATCCACCTTTTGAACAACTGGGGCCAGAACAACAAGGTAATTGATATTAAGTAAACTTAAATAAGGAGTCAGTATTCATTAACTTTTAAAGAAATCTTTCTTACTGGTCATTCAGCTTTCTGATTCATGTTTACAGCGATGATTTCAGCCCTAAATCCATAACTTGGGTTTGGAAGGATTTTATTTCCTACAGGCCCACAAAGAAAGCTTTCCGATAATTATAAAATAGTTGAGTAATTGAAGATATTCTCCATTCCAGAAACTATACGGGGAAGTTGTGGTTCAATTTTATCCTTTTTCTTTGTTCTGAGGTAGTAAGTTTGAAACAAAGGAAAATAAAATCTAAACTAAGGATAAAATTGAATCACAACATATGCAAGCTTTCAGCGCATGATCCCAGAAATCCCGCACTCAAATCTTGTAACGGCCCATAAAAAGGAATAGGGATTTTGGAATCTTGGAAATTTTTTTCTCGTGGAATCCGGAATCCTGGGCTTTGGAATCCGGAGTACAGCTGTAGGAATCCGGAATCCTGCGCTTTGGAATCCGGAGTACAGCTGTAGGAATCCGAAATCCTGGAACCGGCGACTCCATATAAAACACGACACTTTTTTCATGCGTTACTTGTTAACGAAAATTTCTTTTACCTACGTACTAATTAAAAGAGCCAAGTAGCTCACCGAAATTATTCCGTTATTTGTTTTATCAAAACGAATGCCTAGCCGAGAATACCGCAAACTTCCGTTATACGACTGCGCAAAATATGAAGGAGGGCTTATAACAATTAAAAGTGTGGGGAGGGGGTGCTTATAACTGGATTTAAAACAGCGTTTCAATAAAGCGTTTGAATTTAATAGCATTTGAAGCATCAAAACGTCGCTAAAAAGCGAATTCATTTCAATAAAATCGCTAGAGGGGGGCTTTTATCCGGAGGGGAGAGGGGAGCTTAAAACCCGCATGTATCTAAATTTAGTAGATGGGCTTATAACTGGAGGGGGAGATTTTATGTGGCATTTTACGGTATTCTGACAACTATTTACCATTTGACCGCACGAAGCCAAAGTAATGTAGAAACTGCGCGAAAAATGTTAATGGTATTTTGTAGATACCATAAATTCATATACTCCTCAGTAAATCTTCTCTTTCCGTAACAAAGCGTTCTGAACCATTAAATCAAACAAACTTTCATCGGTAAAACCAGAATTCTTAGCGATTACATTAAGCACGCTCTGAGAACCAAACGAACAGAACAGGTTGCATTCCAGAAAAAATGGATTTCCTTCGAGGTCTACCCGGAAGTCGAAAAGGCCAAAGTCCTGCAGGTCTAACTCTTGAAAAACTCGACGACTTTGCTGCTGGATGCGGTTTATTAGGTCAGCTTCCTCTGCAGGGTCAAGAAACCAAGTCTTAGCATTTGGTGGCTTGCCTATAGAGAGACAAATAGGAAAATACAGAAAATCATCTTAATAAGTTTACTACCCGCGACAGCCTGACGGTGAACATAAACTTTTTTTACTGCTTTTCTTGCCTAATTCTACTAGGGGCGTAGCCAACACATAGACCTGTACATGTAGGCCCGGGCCTACAAATTTTGGTTTGATCACTCTACCGCTTGCAACAAAGTATGCGTTGCTGGGCTGAGGTAAAAAGCTTAAAGAGCTCAAAGTGTTGGTGAAGTCAGTGCGTACTGGTCATGCGAGCAATTTTCAGGATGTGTGGAAATGTCAGCGAGCCCTACTAGTTGTCGAAAGCGGCTACACCCCTGTCTACTGTGCAATAATTCCTATGGTCAGTTGTAAACCCCATTTTGGGGTTTACAGAGGACTGGTCTACGTGTGACTCAGATACTAGTCATTGACTATTCATATATTTGGTTACTCAGTAATAAACTTGACAAGTGTTATATGAATGTGATCGAGGAAGATTTATGATTTTGACTTTGTTAAGGAATGAAAAAAAAAGGGATACTCACTAATAGGTAATCCTTTTTCATTGCAGAATAACTTATCCTCGGTTTTACGAATGTCATCTTGACGTACGTTGTATTCCATACACGACAAGGCCTGTATATCTCCAGTTTTTTCTGATTTGACTACAGCACACCGAATCTCCCGTCCTTCTATGAATCTGTACAAATAAAACCGCACAAACATGCTTTTAATAGCTCATAACAAGGCAAACCTCGGTATCCACGTTGCCTTTTTTATTTGTGCCCTCTTTTCTTGCCTGTTACGTGCTAAGCTTTGGCCAATCCCTTCAAAAACCTTCAATTAAGGGATGAGTGTCTGGCGGTGATACCTCACCAGGTTAACCAGTGAAACGGGTGATATCGTACCATGCTTTGCGCACATCAACCTTTCTGTGAAAGGGACCCCTTTCTTTAATGTTGACTGTGTTCGACTTTTTTTTCCGCAAATATTTATCATATCGGGCATTCTCTCTGATACTGAATCCAATGTTCTTTGCGCGAACGAAAAATTTTAATATTAAAAATCGAAACTTAGGCAGTAATAAGGATGAGCCAGTGAATGACTTCAGCAAAGTCTTCTTCAACGTTTTACGTTTTTGAACTATATAACCTAGACAACCTGTACCTTTCAATGATTACTTGATTCGAATAAGTCAGCGCATGCTTAATAGCTGCATCTAAAGACTGTTTGTCCTTTACCAGTCGCACTGATTTGGAATCTTCTCCTTTGCTTGCCTTGACAACACACGGGTATTTGATATTCTCAGTTGGTATGGGGTCTCCTATGAGGAGCAAAAAAGATGACCGAACACTCTCATTACTTTTAGCCAAATTTTTTGTCTGCCCCCCTTGTAAATGGAACAATACACTGCAAAACAGTCGTTTTGTTTTCTCAAAATCGGTAAAGAAACCAGTAAAGCGTGGAGTAAGAGTCTTACCCCGCGAAGCGCGCCTGCCTCACACGCCCGTAGGGCGTTTGTGGCGAGACTGGGGAGAGACGCTAACGAGAGTATCTTAAGCGTCTCTCCCCAGTCTCACTCTCCATTTTCAGCCTCGTTCCAGACCTTTTGTTAGACTGCTCGCGCTTTGAATACGCAAAAATACGGATTGTTTTGCAGTCTAACGGAACAAGGAAGCTCCTACAGTTTTATGAGATTAAAGGTGAGAGCAAACTTCAAACTCCACAGAACCACTCGGATCACCTTGCACACTATAAGTAGCTAATGAGAGAACAAACGATCAGGGGTTCCGCAGAAGGATAAGTCTTTCAACCTTAAATCCTTAGAGAGGAGAGAGACGTTGCTGATCCAAACATTATGTAGAACGAATCTCACTACAATCCAGCAGTAGTTCGTTCAACGCCGCTTGACTGCGCATGGTAAAAGGCAAAAAATTAAGGCCAACCAGAATCCATACTACAGAGTAGAGGTATACTAGGGGTAATCATTTTTTACTTTGTGATTGGTGACATCCCATACGACATTACGGCTAGCTCGCGAAATTCCCCGCGAAACGTCCTCAGCGGCGAAGAGCGAGGAGAAACGGCTGTTTTCGCAGGCTACATTACGGCATTGTCGCATTCGCTTTTATGCCTTTATATGATGAACCAGCTGCATTTGTATGATGAACCAGCTGCAAGATAATGTGAACTTCGCAACAGGACGGGAGAGGAAAGAAGAAGGTTGACAGGCGTGACAGAAAAACTTTTTGTCACTTTAAACGACGATCACGACAAAAAGATAATAAGGACACTACGAATAAGGACATGAAGCTTTCATTTTCAAGATACTTTCAAAATATTTTGTGGACTCGTCGTAGACACAGTTGTCTTACGGTGCAGTTGTAATTGCTGGAAAGGTATCTTTAGGTATAAAAGGCGCCCGACTTTGAAAGTGATATCCCTGTCGACCCAACTCAAGAGAGCTTGCTCACAGCATACCCATGTGAACATGAAGTTTTGAGACTAAGCTTAGCAGCTTAGTAAACCCTGTCATATTTCCCCAGCACAGCAAATATTACCTCTGTTCAGAATCAATCCCTGGACACAAGAAACATTGTTGTTGGCCAGCAAAACACCCCGTGTCTCAAGTTTATCCATGCTAAGGTAACGCGACTCTACTGATCCGCCTATAAGAGGAATATCTAGGGCTTCGAAAAGAGCCCTTCAACAAAAATAACACAGTGTCAGCAACAACTCACAAGACTAGATCGAGCAGATGAATGAAGGAGTTAGTTTCTGTAGATATTGTGGTTTTGAGTCGGTGGGGAGCGTGAAAACATAAAAAATTTGGTTTTACTGATAAACGGAGTTAGACCACGAGCAGTCTCTCTTTTTCTTCAGACTTGAGGAGAGTGAGGGGAGTGCACATGCGCGCAAGCGTCGAAATGTGGAAAACGGGGGCAGCCTCACTCGCCTCGCGCCTTCAGTCATGCTTGTGGCCATTTTCGCTCGTTTTGCTCTGGGAACTAAGAAAAAAGACAGACTGCTCGTAGTCTAAACTAAGTTGATAACCCTCCACGAGGTCGGGGAAAGCTGACATTTCGAGCTCTTGTCCTTTGTGAGAGAGAATCCAAGAATTGCTGGCTGTTTGTGGTTGATATACTGCTACCTAGCTCATATGTATTCTACCAATTCCTGATGGCCATGAAAGGTAATTTTGCCAGAAGAGTCGCCTTTGCATCTGCCATTTAAGATTCTCATATCGAAAGATTTACATATTTATAACAGGATTTTGCCATGCATGGTCATTTTGATACTATCGATCTGTTTAGTACATACTCCGGATTGAAGGTCAATCACGACAAAACGGAAATTCTTCTCATACTAGGAAATATGGAAGTAAACAGTTCAGAACTAGGTGTTAACGAAATAAGTAAGGCCATAAAGATCCTAGGGGTTCATTTCACCTTTAATCACGCACTGTTTTATAAGCTTAACTTTGAATCAATCGAGAAATCTCTGAGGGGATTGCTGAAGGGCTGGAGCTGGAGAGGTCTTACACTACTTGGAAAAATTCAAGTGATCAAGTCTTTCGCCATACCAAAGATTTTATACAGGGTTGTTCTCATTTCAAATAAAGAAGAGTTTATCAAAAAAATAAATACTTTGCTATATTCCTTTGTTTGGAAGGGAAAAGATAAAGTAAAGCGCAGAGCTTTTATTAACCCTATTGATAAAGGAGGCTTGAAAATGCCCAACATTGAGTCAATGATCTCTGCCCAAAGAATAATTTGTATTAAGAGATATCTCTCCATTGATCCCGCTGGCTGGAAGTTTTTTCTGGATTTTTATCTTAAGAAAGTAGGGGGAAAATTCTTGTTTCATTGCAATTTTAACTACACTAAACTACCGGTAACTCGTCCAGAATTTTACAACGAATGCATTGTGGCGTGGACCCTTTTAAATGAAGACAACCCCTCCTCATCCTCTGAAATAGCAAATCAGGTCATATGGAACAACCAGTTCATTTGCATTGAATCAAAGTCAGTCTATAACAGTAGGCTGATTGATCTTGAATTGTAAAAATTGGAGACCTCTACGACACGTGGGGAGGTTTCAAGTCGAACAAGGAACCATTATATTCAACTCTCTCACCAGTTGAACATTTTCTACTTTTCAGTCTCTTCAATGCTTTTCCTGAAGAATGGCGCAAAATATTAAAAACAAATAAAAACTCTATCTCTTCAAAAACTCATGATCTAATCCAAACTGATTTCAAGTTACGTATTGAAGGGAAAAAAGTCAATTTCCAAAATCTTAAATCAAAGTCATTATATGACAGTTTTGTTTCTAAGATATCCAGTATACCAACAGCGCAAAAGAAATATAACGAAGCTTTCAGCACACACACATTTCAGTTGGACTGGGAAAAGATATATCTACTGCCCTTCAGAACAACATTGGATACTAAATTAAGAGAATTCCAATATAAAATATTAAACAGGATCTTATACACGAACAAGATGCTGTTTAAGTTCAAAAAAGTAGATTCTCCCTTGTTTGATTTTTGTGAAAAGGAGTTGGAGACCATAGAACATCTCTTTTTCCATTGTACAAAAGTAAGCACGTTTTGGAATGATTTAAAGTCTGTACTTGATTCTTTTAATATAACTATTAGGTTTGATATCATGAATGTCCTTTTTGGGATCTTAGATACAGATAATATAAGCATTCTAGTCAATTACATCATTCTTGAAAGCAAATATTTTATTTACCGCTGTAAGTTAAATAAGGGCTGTTTATGTGTAGGACTGTTAGTCGATAATTTTAAAAAAACGTTTCAAACCGAACGTTTTATCGCGAAAAGAAACAACAAAATCCATTTCCATGATAAAAAATGGAAGCCGTTACTCCCATTAATACAACAGTAGCTGTTTATCCAAACTTCGTTTTTCTAATACTCCCTGTATTACTCTGTATTTTAAGTTCAAGTCGAATAAGTTATGTAAGCCTTGTAGTGTAGTGCAGTGTAGCTTTTTATTTATTTATTCTATTTTCTTTTTTTTGTTGTTTGTAATTAAGGTAGTTGTTATAAATTTTGTAATGTTTGTATGTTTTGATCTGTATGTGGTTTGTACTATACCTGTAAAAAGAAAATAAATAAATAAAATACAAAAAAAAAAAATGCATGGTCATTTAAATGTTGGTCAAGATTCTTTTGTGGCAGGACGATTTTTGTCAAAGGAAGGCTACTTCCTGGTACAAAAATTACAAGGGACGAGAATGACAAAATCATTTTCTACACCAGTAATAAGGGAATTCTTTTGGTGAAATGCAACAAGAACCATAATACAACATCTTTATCTTTTTGAAAAAGGATTTGTCAACTTTACACCATACATAATCTGGGTTACTTAAAGAAGTGCGACATAGGGACTATTACCTTTTTACTGAAATTTAGGCCTCCTCCAGAGAATCTGTGATTTTGCAGTGTGAGATTTTCGTGGGGTGGAGGGGGGGAAGCTTATCGCTATAATTTCACAATTTGGAATATCCTCATTTTCATAGCTCCAGTGGTTTTTTGCTTTAGCCATTTATACTCCTTTGAACAGCTTAATTCTAGACCTTTGGGTAATGAAGCTGTAGCCGACGGAAAACACAAGTAACACTAACTAGTAAACCAAATTTTAAAATACGTGATGAACTTATAAAAAGATAAAAAGCAGATGAGAGACTTATTTCTTTTATTTTGTGGCGTTGCAAGAATTTATGGTATTCATCCTTCCTCACTTCTTCAATTACAACTTAAGCGTAAACTACGATTCGCAGCGGTGAGATCAATAGCTACTATTGATAACTTATCCGCTGCTTATCCAATCGCTCTCCGCCAAGTTTATTTCTCGGTAATAAAGTTTTGCCACAGTAATAAAAAATTTTATGGTCATTATTATGAATAGCATAAAAGTTACCAGTCTGACCTGTAAGTTGTTATTCCTTTCAGGCAAGGAAAATGGATTAGTGCCTGATCAGGCTTGATGACAGATTTTATGTGTTGTAAAGCGGCTGTGATCTCCATCTTCACCACGTTGCTTTTTCTTTCTTGTAGTCTTTCCACGTCTACAATGTCAGACAGTTTTTTTACAAATGACCAGGTGCCATCCGGGCGAACTAAGGCGTAGCTGAAGGAATACTTTCCAGATCCCGTGCCATCATCAAAGGAGCTTCCATAAACCATATTCAAGGAGAAGCTGTAGTCATCCGAAGGTGAACCCAAAACATGCAAAATCTATACATATAAAAATTTGAATTTGAACTGAATTTTGCTACCCTATACTAGAGTAAACTCCCCAAATCCCCCCTATCCTAGAGTTGCTGTTTCCCTAGTCTAGGTAAAATCTTCAACCAACTGATCAGTTTCCTGAAAAATGATACCCCATTCTAGACCCAAACTCTCTGATTTATATACCCTATCCTAGAGTAAACTGCTTGAAAACCATATCCTTTAAAGCGGCACATACAAATATAGCCCATATATGGCAGTACTCCCCCCGGGCCAAAGGAGAGGTTCTATTGTAATTGCATAATAGATCGTTTTCACTGTCACCCAACAATAAATTAAATTGGAAACCGTCCAGTGGAAGAAGCCAAGAAAATGAGTTGTTATAAATGACTAATATGTAAACAATTTTTCCTAGTCTCAGGTCTTTGTGGCCCACAGTTTCTGAGTTATTTGCCGAAACGTTCACGCACCTTTGTAGACCTTTGTATGGAGACGCCATATTGGTGCACCGTTTTGGTGCACCAATATGGCCGCCGGACAGTCAACAAAAACATCTGGAGTTCACTTTTTCTATAAAAGCTCTTTCTTTTCACTCGAGAACTAGCATACGTACGCATAAACATATCCTCTAATACCTGAAGTGGTTACACAGCTGAAAATCAAGAGGAGAGACTTTTTTCAACGAGACAGCATTCCTATTTTAGCGCCACGCACTGAGAAAACTCGGAAGTTCAAATCGCTGTATTTTCGAAACGACACATGCTAAGGAAATGGAAACTTGTACAAAGATTTACTTTTGTTTATCTTCAACCTAGTGTAATTAAGAATTCGTAAAACCTTGCTATTTTGACTTTCACAGTTACAATTTGTTGACGTCACAGTGAAAACCATCTATTACAGCATAATAGCATAATTAGTACGCTTCAGTTAACTGACCTCCAAGTGTTCCTTCATTCTCCTGTTGGCAATGAAAGTCTAAATCCTGCAAAAAACGATACTTAAAATATTTCTGACAGTGGCACTCACATGACAGAAAATGAAAGCTCAGTTGAGCGTTGGGGCCCAAGCCTACGTTTTTGGCTCGCCTTTTCACCTTATCACCATTAAAGAGCCTTGTTCACTATTAAATCTGCAGTGACGATTCAAGTGCTACAAATAACGGATAATAGCGTTAGCCCTAATAAAGGGAATGGGAGACCATAAAGGCAAGAAAAATTCTTTTAATATCGGTGGGATTCGAATCCTTTCCGGCCCGGGCACCCTGAGCAAATGCCTCGTTTTGAAATTGCGATTGCAAGAACAAAATTTAAGCCCGGGCTGAACAGGAGACTAAATCGTGAGAAAAAAAGCGCGCCCATTTTATAATCGTTTCATGACGTGTCATTTGAACGGTATAATGACCTTAGAGTTTTCTCAGTTTCTAGAGTTTTCCTTACTTTCCGTCACTTATTTCGCTTCACCGCTCACGAGTGAATTTTTTTTTATTAAATCATAAACGCCAAAAATTTCTCGGTTAACCCTCTTACTGTTAGCGAAATTTCTTTTTGTCAGTATTGCGGAGTTTCTTTATATGCAGTGCGAATTTTTGTTTTTATAAAAGACATCTGTAACTGCAACATTTGTAGTTTGTTGTCCGAGAATCACGCTGCACCGTCCACTAAATCCTGACGTAGTTAATCGAAAAACCGGTTATCGATAATAATCGCTGATAGCGATAATAATAGTGATCGACATCAACCATAGATGAATATCGATTTCCGATAGAAATCGATAATGATTGAGTTATATCAGGAAAGACTTGCGTCATTCGGTAGAAGTTCAACGTTTACACGGTGATGTCCGTACTGTATTATTGAGTCATCATTCATGCAGTCGTGATATTATGCAGTTCTTTTAATTGATAAAATACTAAAAGAACAAAACCCTAACAGGAACAAATTGCTCTTTGTTTTGATTTTTTAGCTTAAGCCGGCAGTTCATATTAAGGAAAGAAATTGCTGTGAAAGTGGCAGAAAACAACTTTATGTCGCTGAAGCAGACTCCATAAGAATAGAGCATACCAAGCACTACTCCTTAAGGCAGAAGATGGCAGTCATCTGGAGGACTTCAATGCCCGTGTATATACCGAATTGAATTAGATTGCAGTGTCAGCGAGATTGCAAGGAAAGAAATGCAAGATGCAGTCGATAGCGCAGGATTGAATGGACATGTAAACATCTATCAAAAAAAAAACGAGGAAACGAAAGAAACAAAAAAATGGAACTTGATGAAGACTGCGCCTGGAGTAGTTGCTGAAGTCAATAATAAAATGTGATAAGCCGGTCTCGTGGGTGTTGCTTGCCAAATAGTATCGTCATGTTCAGAAGGTTCACTTCAAGATTATTGCCTGTTATCGATTACTATCGATTGTTGTCGATTTTTGTTAATCTGTATGATAATCGATGAATTATTTTTTCTGTGACTTCGATTTTTATCGATTTTCGATATCAATCGATTGATTTCCGATATCGATTTTTATCGATCAACTACGTCTGGACTTAATTAAGCAGAGAAAAGTTCAATTCCTAGTGATATTTGTTTTCATTAACAAAATAATAATTTTAAGCTTTAAAGTTTGATCGGGTTTTTAATTGATTCAATTGTGATGAAGTGACATCTTTTTCGGTTAGGTGCTTGCCAACACTGGGGACAAACTTCTGGTTCAACTTCACAGCTATTGCATAACTTACGTAATCTTAAACAGCCTATCAAGCCCGAAAGAAACAGGTACGCGTAAAAACACTGCTCAGTAAACACATGGCATGGCATGACTCTGAGATATTTACAAGAACACTCACTTGTTTAGGTTGAAAGAGATGCCTCGAAATGCTCTTGCATAACGTAACTTGCGTAACCTTAGATCCCAAAGGACACCTTACAGTTCCATACAGGCACGCCTAAAACACTTTTCAGTTAACACGTAATTATGGGGATTGCCTTGTAAAATTAGCAAAACGTTCGAAAATATATATATCATCCACAGATTTATAAGTGATCTTCACCACTGAGTTTTTATAGCAAAGTGAATACTACCATGTGAAAGTACTGCTGAAGAGCTTTTATTTGAAAAAGACCTTAGCCTTGAGGATGTGACCGAAAAAGTGAAAATATTAAATAATTATCCTTACTAATAACAATACATATATAAACAATACATACCAAAATTTTGATTGAAAATCACGCAAAGGAGACGACTAGCAAGCTCTTAGCCCCCGTCTTGTAACTGAACAAAGCTGGACTAACTGAACGTGCTTTGATACTAGGCGGTTTTGTTAATAATTAGAATTGTTAATTAGTTTAATGTGCACTCAAGCTGAATATGGACAGCCAGGCATTTTTGTGTCGTTTTGTTTTAGTACTAGCGAAACTAATCTGTCGCTTTCGTTTCCTATAAGCCAAGCAGGGCAAGAGAGAAAGACGTGTGAGGGCTATGTCAAAAGGTGCAAAAAAGAAGAAGCCAGGGACGGAGAGGTGTGAAAGGGAAAGGAAACTATAATATATCAAAATATAAATTCTCAGTACAGCCGAGACTCGGTCGGTTTGTTTTACGGATTTGACTCATGTCTAGTGTTTTTTGGGCCTTCTTTAACTCCAAAAATGGTTCAAGAAGTGTATTAAAATAAGTAAGATTTTTTGTACTATTCTTCACTTAAAAAGCAAAGAGATTTTTATGACATTTTCATGTCATATTGGTTTTTAACAGGCACTCACATAGTGAGTTTGGCCATGGGATGCCTGTCATATAGAGAATGCTAACATGTAAATCGGTACTAAAATAGCCTGTCTAGCAGTCGTTTTTTTTTTCTCTTTTAGCCAAGTGGGAGGAGTGTACCCTTCCGGTCCAACGCCCTTCCACTTGCCCTGGTTTGCTCAAGGGAACGGAAACGACTATAAGCCGGCATACCCGGTGACAAAGATCTCTCTGAGTTCTTGTGCTGCCTTTTTATTGTACATCTTGAAGTTTTCTGGTGTTAAAGAAGCCCAAAAAACACTGGACATGATAGAAAACTGTAAAACAAACCGACCGAGTCCAACAAGAATATATTTTCCGCTTGCCACCCCAAACGTCAATCGCTCTAGACGCTTGGGGTCTTTTGTGATTGTTTATGTTAACAATAACAGAACTAAAAACAAAGGAATATAGTTGACTGAGACATTTGTTATCAGAGGTACAGAAAAAGGATAATCAGTTTAGCAAACCAATCGAGCTTCACTCTCCCAAAGGCCGGATCCACAAAATTTTTGGTGCGCCTGTTTTTTTAGCGCCTACTATTTGTATGGAAAACCCGGTAATTCCGGTGAGAATTTTAAGGGAACGGTTCTTTTTCGGGAAAAAGAAGTAATAACTTCTTAGGTACCGAAACGAGACGACCAAAATTCTCTGTACCATCTGCGCATGAGCCCATATTTTTTTTGTTGTAAAAACTGGAATTTGTAAAAGGTAATTTTTCCGAAACTGTTCTGCATTTTGGCCTCACTGCTAATTTCCACAGATAACTAAGGTACCCGTCCACATGTATCCAGATCAGGGGCACCCAACGAGAATACAGTTCAAAACCACTTAAACATAGCATTGTTAAACGTATTTTAGTATTTAAACGGTAGATATAGGCATATTTTTATCCCCTAAAAATTTTTCATCTGTTCGGATTTCCTAGCTGAAAGTCTCGAGATCCGAAAATCATAGGGATCAAAACTTACCTTTTCGAAAATTTAAGCCAGAAAAAAGGCTCCCGAAAATTCTAGGTGAGCTTTTTAGGGTAAAAATCCGTTAAAAATCACAGGGTCCAGAGAAGTTTCGTGTGAATAAATGAATTACTTATTTAAAGTCTCACCTTGAAAAATGTCTATACCAGTGTCGCTTAGCACGGTTAATTAGCCCAATGGCATCTTTATAAATCTACTGTAAACGATGA